TATTTGGTTTTCAATCAGCTAAAAATATAACCAATAAATTGGAGGAAAGAATTAGATAATTGCTTGAGTTTGCAGAGTCAGGAAGCTGAAAAAATAAATAACATAAGCTGCTTAATAAATAATAAAATAAGAAATAAAAGGAACTTGAAATTAAGAATGAAGAAGAAGAAGAATTACAAAAAATATCTCTTGAAATGGTATAACGAATTTTCTTTTTTAAATAATATGAAAAATGTAAAAACTCAATATATTAGTAAGAGAGAATTTAGCATTTAAAATAAATATTTAACCTGCTTTTCATAAATATTTTTTTGAGAGTAAAGAAAATTTAATTGTGAAGTTTTTTAACCATTATAAAATTAACTAGAAGAACCCTTAATTTTAATAAAATGCATAGACCAAGCTAAGTTTATTATTAAATAAAATTGTTTAAACCTCATAATTATTAGTAATACTTTTTTTTAACCCAGTTCCCTAACATTTTCCTCATTCTCCCAAAACACTCTATATGGATATAAAATACATTCAAATTTGAGCCAAAATAATTCGGCAAACGTTTTTCCTAGATTTTCCGTGGCCTTTTCCTATTTGTTTTTCCTGCCTTTTTATTTTTTTTTTGTGCGATGTGCTTCTGTTTTTCCCACGCGCCTCTGTAAAGTCGCGAAAAACGCGCTCAAGGCTGAGGCGCATATCAAAAAGCAATTCAGAGGCGAAAAAGAGAGAGATGCTTCCAAAACCTTCCAATGCAAGAAGCTTTTTGGCATTGCAGCGGGGCAAAAAGCAAGCCTAAAATCAAATCAACGAAAAATCCTAAACGTGCCAAGCTAGAGGTTGGAGCGGGGGGCTAGGGGAGGTTCCCCGGGTCCCCGTATCAAAAATTCCCTTTCAGCGATGAGAGATGATAGCTTCCGACTGCTGATCCCCACCCCCACCCCCCTCTCCACCACCCAATTCATTCACTCGCACACACGCAGCTGTTTTTGGGGCCTTTTTCAATGCATAAATTCATAATTCATGGCGTGGCCAAGGGGGAGGGAAAGCAACGCAGTCCACAACTCCCTACAAATCGTACAAGGCTCAAGAAAAAAAATACAGGGACTCATTAACATTATCAAAACAGAAATTCATAATTTCAAAAATATATATATTAATAACTATAAGATAAAAATAGGAAAAATATACATAAATATAATATTTAACAGTCAAAAAGCTCCCCCTGCAATTTCCAATCCACAAATGTGGATCGTATTACTTTTGCGTGACAGAGCACTTGGCTTTCGTTTGTTTACACAACAAAGGTGAAGAGCAGAAAAAAAATAACAGTAAATGATCGTCACTCACTCAGTTTGCATGGAGTCCAAACGGCTAGTGATCCTTCGTCTCTTTCTTGCTTTAGTGGACGTATTTAACTTTTTTATTTTCGTATACGACGGCTTTGCTCGATTTTCCCGAATTCGCGAATATCACATGACTACGTCGATTTGCCCGGCCGTTTTACCGTTTTCCCGCACTTTTTCGCTCGTTTCTCTTCACTCGCCCCGCGCGTTAACCGAATTACCGATTTTTTGACGCCTTGGAGCACAGAGTAACTGAGTACAGATCTCTCTCGCTCTCTTTAACTCCTTTTTTTTTTGCTTCTTTCGCTGCAACGTTTTAATGGCGTCTTTGACTTGGTGTTCTTGATATACATACATAAATACAAGTGTATGTATTTTTTAGCACTACCCACGCCAATTAATCACTCGTGGTAACTAATCCAAACACCTAAACTGTCTGCGCGCTGTCTGCGAATATCATTTAATTATTACTGCACTGTATTTTGCTGCAAGTAACGGACTGCTCCGAATTGTACAGTTAGTTGGCGTTCAATCACAGCGTTTGTGTGTTACACTCGCGAAATTTAACAAAACCACTGCGCGGACTTAGATTGTCTTACTTCCAGAACAAAATATGCACTCCGTCGTTAGTTATTAACTTATTTAGTTGCTAGAAGTTAATTAAACGATGAAAACTCCGTGCTTTTGATGATTTTTCTTGCTCCAGTTATTTTCGACATCTTGATCAACGGTGAACTGCCGTAAGAATGGAATTTGAGAGCGACAACTGTGATGCCGCGGCCGCTATCGGCGTTGCTCTAACTTTTATCCAGCTAGATCTAGCTAATTTTAATCTAAAAACTTTGCGGTTTTTGGAGGAAATCTGACGTAATTTTTGCTTTAATTAAGAAACTAATACTGAATAAATCGTCGGTTGTGGCTAGTTTTTCTTTATTTTTTTTCCTTTTATTTTTATTTGGCCTGGTTGAGTTTGTTTTTGACCAAATCTAGCTTATATGTGTGGTCATAACCCTGCAACACTACCTACTCTCTGCTTTGAAATGTTGTTGGTGGGGGAGTGGTGGACATAGTAGGAGAAGGCGAAATTAATGTGGAGAGGCGGGATCTAGAGAAATCTAGAGAGAGGCGGTAGTCAGAGAGCGGCACTCTCTCCCATCTGGTGGCCCATATTGGAAATGCGTCCCAGGATCCACTAATACAGAGATATAAATCCCGCACACGATCCACTTGATTTAGCCAAATGACTTTTACTCTCTCCCTTCGTTCCAATTGGAAAATGTAACAAAGTGTGGAATTTTGTTGTTTTAATGTTGGGTTTTAGGTAAATTCAAAATATTAAATGAAATTTATATAAGCATATATTCCGAGACACATTATATCAGCTATGACGATCTGTATAAAAAGATTTATATTTATAAAAGGCATTAAATTAGTAAATATCCTTCTGAAATATATAAAACATTGACACTTAAGAATCAAATAATTATGGCAGCTATTCAAATTAGATTTTATATTAAGATGAACGCAATATTGTTATTCAAATATAATCTCTAGCTGCGTATCTGAGAAACCTTGACCCAAACTCCTGCAACAACGAACACAACCTATGGAGGGCGACCAAATACCTAAAGAGACCAACTAAAAGAAACGTAAACATTCGTAAAGGCAATGGAAGATGGTGCAGGTCTGATAAAGAACAAGCGGAAGCATTTGCCAACATCTGCATTCCGTGTTTCAGCCAAACGACATCAATAACCCAATAACAGAGACTGAAATCGAAAACTTTCTTGAGTCACCCTGTCAAATGAGCTTGCCTATCAAAAGCATTAAGTATGAAGAAGTTGTGACAGAAATCAAATGCTTGAACAACAAAAAAACACCAGGCCCTGACAAAATAGACGGCATCACCCTAAAAACTTTACCACCAAAATGCATTCGACTTCTCACTCTCATATATAATGCAATTCTCAGACTAGATCACTTTCCAAGTCAATGGAAATGCGCAGAGATCATTATGATCCTAAAGCCACTCAAAACAGAAACAGAACTGACCTCATACCGTCCCATTAGTCTGTTGACAATATTCTCGAAAGTATTTGAAAAAATACTATTGAAGAGAATGTTGCCAATTTTGGACGAGCTTTCCATCATTCCTGAATATCAATTTGGATTCAGGAGAGGTCACGGGACACCTGTGCAATGTCACAGGGTCATTAATGATATAGTCTCTGCATTTGAAAACAAAAAATACTGCACTGCTGCGTTTCTTGATGTACAACAAGCGTTCGATCGAGTCTGGCACAATGGTTTATTGTACAAGATAAAGAAATGGCTACCTGCCCCATACTATCTATTAATCAAGTCATATCTGACTAAAAGATGCTTTTACGTGCAGCAGAAAAGCGACTCATCAACGCTAAACTGCATTAACGCAGGCGTCCCACAAGGAAGCGTACTGGGGCAAATTCTGTACACCCTATACACGGCTGACATGCCAGGTACAAACACATGCACTGTAGCAACATATGCTGATGATACAGCCGTTTTGGCTACAAGCACATCCAAAAATGAAGCGTCTGAACTCCTGCAGCGTGAGCTAAGCTTAATTGAAGACTGGTTTCTTCGATGGAAAATTAAAATCAACTCCCTAAAATCCGTCCAAATCACTTTTTCATTAAGACCAGGCAGCTGCCCTAATGTTGCACTTAACGGCTCACCAATTCCACAAACTACATGTGTGAAGTACCTCGGGATGCATCTCGACCGCAGATTAACATGGAAAAATCACATCAAAGCAAAGTGTCAGCAGCTCAGACTTAAAACACTAAAAATGTCCTGGTTGTTAAGTCGCAAATCAGAAACCTCTCTGGAAACAAAATCCGCCTCTACAAAGCCATACTAAAGCCTGTTTGGACCTACGCTTTACAGCTCTGGGGAACTGCTAGCAAATCAAATATTGAAATTCTTCAGCGTTACCAATCCAAAACTTTGAGACAAATTGTCAATGCTCCCTTCTACGTAACTAATGCAAACATCCACAAAGACCTCAACATCCCAACCATAAAAGAAGAAATAAATAAAATCAGTAAAAAATACATAGACAGACTCCATAACCATGAAAACAATTTAGCCTTAAATCTAGTGGACAATAGTTTAACAGTAAGAAGACTGAAAAGATACCACATTCTCGATCTCCCCGACAGATAAATTAAACTACTGTAATATGTAAATATATAATAGCAGAGCTCACAAAATTTACCTATTGTTAATTAGACAGATTGTAAATAAATAATAAATAAATAAAAAAAAAAAAATATAATTTATTATATTGACAAAATTAAAAGCTGAAAGTTAAAACGGTAATTAATTAGTTTAGTTAAGTGCCGAAGTCTTTGGTCTTATCATCATTACTGCTCGCTTCAATGAATATTTCAGAGTCCTGAAATCTTTCCAGGCTACTCCCTTTCCCAGTTCATTATCTCCATATTTGCCACATAAGTTGCTAATAAAAAGATCAGGTATAGATATCAATTCGAGTAAACCTTTTTGTCAAAAACATTTACCTTTGAAGACAACTATTGTACCACCAGGCACCTGTACTCATTATTGCGCATTCTTGTCCATCGGTTCTCAAGTCATTCTTCCGATCCTTTGTACTGAACATCATTCCAAGTTGATATCTGAGTGAATCACCAGCATTCCCAGTGGCAAAACCCAACGAATCCAGGGTGTAATTGCTACCCTCCGATCCGACTCTAAAGTCATCGTACATTTCATATTTTGTACTCTCTGATGATCCTCCAGAAGGACAAGTAACTCCTGTGGCTCTGCAGCAGTCATTGCATGGATTCTGTCCAGTCCCAGGAAGAACTCATTGCCCAGTTTCCCAAATCCTTGCTTATAGTCCTCCCATCCTCGGTAGAAGTCCTCGCTTCCATCGTTCCTTCGCAGGACGATCGTCCAGCCACCACCATGATTCCGCTGATCACAGGCCACCTCAAAGGGGTCCTCACTGTACTCAGGCACGCGGATCAGGAGCTTGGTGTCCCTGGAAACAACGGCACAACTTGAGGGATACGATAGGTTTCCAGACTGTGATAATCCCTCCAGGATCTGGGTCTGGAGCTGCAAGATCTGTGTTTGTTGTCTCAGAATATATGTTTGTTTTTCCAAAATCCAAGTTTGATTTTCCGAAATCCCTTTCTGGTTTTCTTGCTCCTCTCTATACCGCAAAATTTTCCTATTCAAGTTTTTTAAATTGATATATTTTTTTTATGTATTTACCGGACAGAAGCCACTTCCGATTTGACCTCATCGATTTGTCACACATCATCAGTTGAGTACATATTGCCTTATTTTGTTGTCCTTTTGTGGAATTAAAAATTAAAAAGCAAAAAAGTATTCCGAAGCGCCACATGACTGCAAGCCAGCTTTTTAAAGACTGATCACAATTTAAAAGAAAACTTTGGAGTGAACTTGCAGTGCGTAATAGAAAGAGTGTCATAAACAATTCTTATCAAATCGGAAATCGTAAATATTAAGCAAAGACAATTGTTATAATTTATTTTTGTCTCTGGAGAAATCAGATAATAGGCAGATTCAGATAGGAAGTTATATATAAACGCATTCTATTCCGCGAATTTTGATGGTAATGAACATTATTACTTCCAGTTTGGAAAAATAATTCAAGTTAAGATTATCTATTTAGACTGATTCTAATCTATTTTACTAAATATCAAATCATCCAACACTGATATACTAATAATAGTACTAATAATAACAGTCATAAAGAATTCTTATCGCGCGAAAAGCCTCAAATATATTACATTTTTAAATCACTTATTTTTTCCGGCATTGATATTCCATGGAAAATTAGTCATCTGACATTAAGCAATATAAAAAATATTGAATTAACTTTATGATGGTATACATTAAATAAGCTTTAGTTTAAGATAATTATTTCTTAGACCACCCAAATATTTAATACTGTTCATCCTTCTAGTGACCATCATTAAAAAGAATTTAATAAACCAATGTTATATTACTTTTGGTAAACTAACTTGTAAAACTAACTAAACCTAACAAACCAAAACTTCCTAAGTGGCTTGTAAATATTTATTTATTTACTGTATCCCATAAACTGTTAACATATTGCCCGATGAGAACTGATAACAAACAGAATATTACAAAAAATTTCGCAAAAATGTTTTGTTAACTAAACTTATATTAGTTTAGAGCTGATGTCCTTGGTCTGATCATCATGACGGCTCGCTTGAGTGATTGATGGTGGCCCTGAATGCATACCAATTTATTCCCTTTCCAAAGGTATTGTCGCCATATTTTCCACACAAGTTGCTACAAAAGAATTTACAGAATTATCCGAAGAAACAAACGTCCAAGGACTTACCTTCTATGACACGAGAAATACCACCATGCACCTGTATACATTTTGGCGCACTCGTCACCATCAGTTCTCAGGTCGTTTTTCCGATCCTTAGTACTAAACATCATACCACGATGATCTGTCAGCGAATCACCTGCGTCTCCAGAGGCAGATCCAACCGATTCCAGGATATAATTTGTATCCTCGGAGCCTACCTTAAAGTCATCGTACATTTCATATTTATGTACTCCCTCATGATCCTCCAGAAGGACCAGCAACTCCTGCGGCTCTGAAGCAGTCATCGCATGGAGTTTGTCCAGTCCCAGGAAAAACTCATTTCCCAGCTTCCCAAATCCTTGCTTGTAGTCCTCCCATCCTCGGTAAAAGTCCTCGCTTCCATCGTTTCGTCGCAGGACGATTGTCCAGCCACCACCGTGACTCCGCTGATCACAGGCCACCTCAAAGGGATCCTCACTGTACTCAGGCACTCGGATCTGGAGTTTCGTATCCTTTGACACAACAGCACAGTTGGCAGGATATGGTCTCAATTCCTCCAAAATCTGAGTCTGATGTTGTTGCTCCTCACTGATCCAAAAGATTTTTGTATTATTTTTATATTTATTAAGGTATTATTGAAATATTTACCGTAGTAAAGCCATCTCCGATTTCAATTCCGAAACATTGTCACAAATGTAGATTAGATTGCAAACATCCTTTTGATCCTGAGTACTAGCAGAACCTAAAGCCAACAGGCAAAATATTATTCCGAGACGCAACATGCTTCTAGGAGGTGTATCTGTAGACTGTTCAAAAGTTAACTGGTTCTCCCGACTTATATATACCTATCGAAACGAATGAACATCATTTTGTAAAGTTCTTAACTGATACGGTTTTGACCGATATGATATGATGTGATGGCATGGTCATAAAGAACTCTTATCTAAACAGAAGTCTTATAAAATTTTAATTCTAAGTCAGGGACAATTTGTCATATTAATTCCTTTTCGAAACCTAACAATTATGTTTCAAACATTTTTCGTGTTAAAAGACAGTTTTAAAAGATAACCCAAGTTATATGATATTATTACTACATTAACAAGCGCTATATTGCTGCATTTTATATACCAATTTTTCAAATTTATTTATCCAAACATTGTATTTATTACAGAACTGCAATTTTTATAAATTCATAGTTCTTATTCTGGTTTAATGGTTAAATAAAAATCAGTTCAAAGCCGAAGTTTTGGTCTGATCATCATTACGGCTCGCTTAAGTGAATATTCCAGACCCCTGAAAGCTTTCCAGGCTACTCCCTTTCCAAATTCATTATCTCCATATGTGCCACACAGGTTGCTAATGAGCGTTAGAATCCTCATTAATCAGAATAAAAATCTTTGTTAAGGACACTTACCTATTACGGCATTCAGCATACCACCAGGCACCTGTACTCATTATTGCGCATTCTTGTCCATCGGTTCTCAAGTCATTCTTCCGATCCTTTGTACTGAAAATCATTCCAAGTTGATATCTGAGTGAATCACCAGCATCCCCAGAGGCGAAACCCAACGATTCCAGGGTGTAATTGCTACCCTCCGATCCGACTCTAAAGTCATCGTACAACTCATAAGCTTTCACTCCCTCATGATCCTCCAGAAGGACCAGCATCTCCTGTGGCTCTGATGCAGTCATTGCATGAATTATGTCCAGTCCCAGGAAGAATTCATTGCCCAGTTGACCAAATCCTTGCTTGTAATCATCCCATCCTCGGTAGAAGTCCTCGCTTCCATCGTTCCTTCGCAGGACGATCGTCCAGCCACCACCGTGATTCCGCTGATCACAGGCCACCTCAAAGGGATCCTCACTGTACTCAGGCACACGGATCCAGAGTTTAGTGGTCTTCGAGACCTCGGCACAGCTTAAGGGGTACGACAGGGTGCCAGACACTGGCAAACCCTCCAGGATCTCGGTCTGGTGCTGCTGCTCCTCACTGCTCATACAAATGTTGGTATTAATATTTAATTAAATATTATTTCAAATAATTACCGCACAGCAGCCATTTCCGATTTCAATTCCGAAACATTATCATAAATGTATAATAGATTACACACATCCTTTTGATCCTGTCTTCTAGCAGAACCGAAAGCCAACAGGCAAAATAATATTGCGAAAACCAACATGACTCAAGTAGGTCTTTCTTTAAACTGACGAATCATTATCTTGCTATACGGAAATATATACAATACGCATCGAAGACCCTCATCTTTCTACGAAGTTCTTAACTGATACATTTTTGACCGATATGGTACGATAAGAGGGCATAGCCATAAAGAGCTCTTATCGCTATAAAACCCTCAACGAAATATTTAACTTATAAATCCATTATATATTTTAGGATAGGAAATTAGTCATTTTAATTATTATTTGAAGCACAGTAATAAAATAATTAAAAAAACAAGAAAATATTAATTAAAAGCGATCATAACTAATCTTTAAATACCTGCATTCTTTGAATCGATATTTATTGGTATAACATGTTAATATCAATCATCAAATATGATGACAAGTTTTTCGGAAAAAATAAGTTTTAAAAACTTATAACTAAGCAATAAAATAAGGGCTAATTTTGATTAGGAAAGCTGTTTTATATTAGTTTTAATTAAGTTAATAATTCTGCATAATCAATATACAATTTTATAAAATTAATAATATTTACATTTATTTTTTTTTTTAATTTAATCCCTATTACCTTACATGGACATGGCTAGATCGACTCGGCTTTTGATGCTGATCAAGAATATATATGCTTAATAGGGTCGGAAAGACTCACTCCTTCACAGCTTTAAAAGCTTCTGACTGAAATGATAATACCCTTGAAAGGGTATAAAAATATATTAAAGCAGGTGAATGATATAAAAGAACTACCATATCGTTGAGCGTTCACACACTGTGTAAATTAAATCAAATACCCTAAAGCAGGTCGGGAACTCCATATGAAGGGAATGGCAAATAGGGGCGGAAGTGGGTTGTGGGCGGAAGTGGGAAGCTCTTCTACCAATGCTGAGTTTTGGCTTACGATTTCTAGTTCTCTATTTTTTTTTTTGTGCTTATTTCTGGGAAACTGCAGCCTGTGGCGGAGTTAAGGCAACGTGCTCAATTAAGCGCCCACACACAACATATACAAAACATACACACACTAATACACAACATGTGTGTGTAGGGGACGAGGAGCCACATTACAGTGAAAATGTTTTTCTTTTTTTTTTGGCATGGCACGTGGCTGGCCGCTAATATTTATGGCAATTAGTTTTAATAGTTTTGCTTGTACATTCCCATGTAAAGTTGTAAACTCAGTCATCTCTATCGCCACCCCCTTTTGCCTGTCTATGTGTGTGTTTCTCTGTGTGTAGTTTTAACAACTATTTAATGTTGTTTACAATTTGTTATAATATGGCAATAATTGAGCGTGTAACTACATTCAAGTCCATGGCACTCGTTTCGCAAACTGTTGGCAAATATGATTCGATTTTATGGTATTTTAAAGAAGAATGATATATTTGGGGTTTAAAGTTTAATTTTAATGAAACAAAAAGGAAGTTAACTTCGGGAAACTGAAATTTCTATACCCTTGCAGAGAAAATCCATCATAGCTCAGTTAAAAATGAATTAATTTTCAATTGAAAAACTTTTCTGTGTTGTAATCTATAATAAAAAGTTAACAAATTAATATGGTTTTAATTTCAAAGTATTTAATTAAAAAAAATTGAAATAAACAGGAAATGTAATGGTTCAATATATATTAAAAATAATATTAATTTATACATCATATTTTCATTGAATTTGATCTATTGATAAAAAAGCCTTCCTTAAATCTATTTATGCCTTATTTGAGACTTCAACAAATAGTAAAAAAAACCTTTCAAGTAGCATTTCATTTGAAACTCAATGTTTTGTAATTTTTTCAAAAAGCCCTCCCAAAATTCCTTCAAAAATGCAAAATTAGGCCATAGCTTAATGAATGAATTTCTTTTTTAAACTGCTTCAAAAAAGCAATCCTTTCGAAAAATTCACACAAAATACAAAGAGACATCAGGAAAATAGTAGAAATGATATTTTCCATTTGAGAAGAAGAATAGCTTTTAGTTCGCAAGGAAATGCTTAATTTGTAAATGCTTCTGCAGCCTGAAAGTATGCAAAATATGTTTGTTATTTGAAAAGCGCCCGCAAAGCCGCCTAGATTGAGAAAACTGCAGCAACAGCAACAGGAAGAAGGACCCCATAGCAAGGATCACTGCAGCCTGGCTCAAAAGCTGTGCTCATGGTCACCACCCCCTGATAATGCCGATAACGAAGAATCCTTGGGAATTCTACAACAGGATTACCTAGCTGCGGAAGTAATGCCCACTGTGAGGCAGCCGCGGAAAAGGCGAATTGCACCACAACCACCACCAAAACCATCACCCAAACCTAGGAAAATGAGGGGGGCAAGGCTACAAAATGATCAGAATGATCACTGTGCGTTCATTGAGCAGCTTTTTGCAACCACAAATGAGGCAACAACGCTCAGAGCCATATCCACAGTGGGCGAGACATCGGCTCAGGCAGAAATAATAACAGCATTTACAGTGGTTGCGGGTAAGCTCGGTCTCTGCAAAATAATAATAATAATAATAGCACAAAAAACACATGCGATTTTTGAAGCCAAACGACGCTGCTGCTGCGCTGTCCTTTGCTAATGAGTAATATAGGGGGTAACATGGGTATATTGGGTTCTTAGAGTTCTTTGTCATATAAAAAGGGTTTGGTAAGGGCCAGGCCTACTTGAAAGTATTTTCTTCTATTTCAATTTGACATTTTTTTTGTTGAAAACAACATATTTTACGGGGTATGTCATTGCTATTTTATTGTTATTTATTTATTCCCATTTCTCTGCCACTCTCTAATCACAATAATTACATATTCCCAGCTCTTCGGATTATTTATATGTATATTTAATAATAACTTATAGGTTTCTATTACACTTATAAATGGTAAAAGAGATTTTTTTTTTCTCAAATGAAATTTCCTTACCCTAAAAATATATTTACAATTCCTCAAATAAATCAATTATATGTTAATTTAAATATGCGGTATTCCCAATGTCGATCATTATTTTGTTTGCGATCTCTCGACGTTTTCTGCTCTGCTTTCGTTCCATGTAATTCGAGCTTAAGACCCCAACAAAAACTATATGTGAATATTTCTCTCTGCTCTCTGGTGCAAGCTCTCTTGTTGTCAGTCTCTCTCTCTCTCTCTTTCTCCCTGCCTGTCTCCAGTTCTCCCCATCTCTTTCTCCCTCTCTCTCTCTCGCGCGGTCTCTCAGCGGCTTTCCAGCGGCTCTTTCCACGCTGTTTGGGTTTTAGTTCCCTATAACAAACCAGTTGTTATTAACGCTTTGAACTCGCTTCCGTGCAGATCGTTCCATGTAAAAAACCAACAACGCGACAAAAGAAACAACAAATTTGAAATAAAACAAAAATACTGCTAGAAATACAATGTGAAAAGTGACAAGTGATGAAATAGAGTAGTGTCTGTGGAAAAGTGCCTGACAAATGCAATTAGCAATTAACAACTGCCGCAATCTACAGGTGTTTAAGCAGTGTTCTTTTTTCTCTCCTTTTGCTATGTTTGTTCTTATTTTCTTCTCGCTTTTATCTTGGAGTACCTTTTTTCGGTTTTATATCGCGGTTCATCTCAGGGTTTTGGCTTTTGTTTTGCTTTCAAATTGCTTTAATTAAACAATTTAAAGTGAGTGAGGAAGTGGGGAGAAAGGGGTAACGCCAACGCCAACGCATATTTCTGTACTCTTTTTTTTCGGTTTCCCTGAAGAGTGACCCATAACCAAACCAGTTTCCAGTTCTGTTTTGTACGATTTCTTTGTTTACCTTGTGCGTGGGGATTTTCTCTAACCTTTTCCTCCCCAAGTTTTATTTTCATTTTCATTTAGCCAGTGGAAACACACACCTTTTTTTCCGTTCGTGCTTTTCTTTCTTGACCATTTTCCTCCATATAGATTTTCATAATTTTGCGGCTTTCCAGTCTGAGCTCTCTGAGCGTCATCCTCTCTTTGCTCTTGCACTCTCCTCTCCGCTCCCGCTCTCGCTCTTGCTCTCTATTTCTTTTCTTTGCTCGGCTTCCAGTGGCGCCTTGTTTTTATTTACTTTTGTTTAATTATTATTTCTTACACACATGTCGCATTTTTGTGAATGAGCCACCGATGGGGCCCGTCGTGCATTAATGGCAAATAAATCATTCGGGCCGCACTTGGCGGATGGCTTTATTTAAATCCAAATATTTGCGAGTCGAGCTCATCGCACTTTGGCAATTTACATTAATTTTATAGAAGATTCGAGCAATGAAAATTTATTTTTAAACTTTGGGAATAATTTGTTAAAGGATAATAGCAACTATCAATTCTTAACAATTTGTTAAAAATGATTAGCGACTTTTTAACAACAAAAATATTTCCTTTCGCAGTTTTTAGCCTTTTATTTTTCAAATTTAGTTGTTGTGCCTTGAAAAAATATATTTTAAAATTTTTTAATGTCTAATCAAGCGTAATATTATTATTTAAAAATACAAAATATATATTTTGTAATAAAACAAGAAAGGAAACTTACTTCGAAGAAAGGTTTTGAATAAATATTTATCGGTTTTTTGTTACGATAATTTTTGTAAATTAGTTTAAGTTTAAAAAATTCATAACTAAGTCAAAAAACATTAATTTAAATTCGGAAAGCTGTCCTATGTTAGTTTTTAAAAGATTAATAAATCGGCATACTCCGTTTAAAATTTAAAAAATGTAAAAAATTAAAAATTTATTGCTTATATTTTTTTGAAAAATAAAAAAAAAAATTTCAAAATTTTTTTTCAACCTTTTATAGCTAGATCGTCTCGGCTTTCATTGCTGATCAAGAATATATATGATTTATAGGGTGGGAAATGACTCCTTCACAGCATAACAAGCTTTTGACTAAAATTAGAATACCCTGTAAGGGTGAAATAATGATAAATTGTATTTAAAACAATAGAACTAGTTTAATACTTCGAGTGGAAGATTTTAATTAAATTTCAACTTATATTTAAACAAGCAAACCTTTAGTTCAGATCCCTATTTTCACCATTTCAATCACAATTTCCGCTTGTTGACTTCCATTTATTTCTTTGCCACACCTTTATAGACATTGTTTTCTATAACTCTTCAACTTCTGTCTCATCCTCTACATCTCGATTATCTATCTCTATTTTCTCTATATTATCGCTTACCGAATCTAAAGACGACTTGGTCAGTTTGGATTACACCGATTCCTTAGAGTACCAAAACTGTAGCAGCGACGATTGTTGCTACGCCTCGAATGACACCTTAACCCATGGCAGCCAGCGGCAGCAGCAGCAGCTTCCACATCATCATCATCATCATCATCAAGATCATCATCACCATTCAAGTGGAAACTGTCATCGTAATCATCATCATCATCATCAATATCCCTACGACCGGAGGTCATTGTGCACAAGTTGTTCAAGCAATGATTCCCTCTTCACAGATCCCGTGGATGAGGAGCTAATTGAGGCCAAGTCAAGCCCATTGCCTCCCTTAAATGCTACCAAAGTTCAACCTCCATCGAAACGTGATCGTCCACTGAGCGAAATAAGTGTCACATCGGTGGATACACCATCGCCGAGCACGGCAAAGGCGTCCTAGAGCTACAGCGACGCTGTCGAGCGGATAAATTGGCCTGCCTGAGCTTAACCCGTGTCAGTTACCTCAATATAGCCAATGATCTGCAGGAGGTCGAGGAGGCTGAGCCGGCTATATTGCTTAATACCGATCTATTGGTAGCACCCAATAGTCCAGCCGAAGAGAGTTCGCCGGACGAACTTATGGCACTGCAATTGGGCAAGAAGTTGGCCCAAGTTTTGGGCAGTGGATCGGGCACACCACTGACCCGGGTAACATGGAACGGGCACACCGACAGGAGGATCGGTGGGAACGAGGCTTGGGGATTCACCTTTGGGCAATGGAGAACTCTTCAATGTGTCCAAGGCCAAGAAGGTGGAGCTACAGAATCTATCATCACGATTTGCAGCCGCCGTGAACCAGACACCTCAAGGTGTTTTGGTAACAGGAGCAATAAACCATGAAGCAGGTGAGAAATTAGTTTGAAAATATTTAAAAATAAGGAAAATTATGGAGGGAAATGGTAGTTCTAGGAAGATAACCCTGAACTAGAGAAATGGTATGACTTTAATAGAGAAGTTAAAAAATGTTAAGAGAAAAGCAATTTTATAGCAGGAAATGTTGTTTCTCAGAAGAATAAGTAAGCTAGGAAGAAATCCTAAAGATAAATAAAAATGGTATTATATATAAATATAATATCTTTCTATATATTCAAAAGACCTTAGACCAAACCCTTAATAAATATACATACCTTAAATAGTACTAATTAATTTCTTACTGAGTAATTACTTACAAAGAAGCTAAAAATTCACTACAGAACCTAAATCTTCTCCACAAAAAAACCATCTTATTAAACTCACAATTTTAAAGCTTTAATATTTGCTTTGTATTTTCCACATATTTAAAATTTTCCACCTAATTGTTTATCAATGAAATTAATTTTAAATCACCAGCCATGCAGCAATGCAAATAATTACCATTATAAACAAAAGCAATAATTGTGTGAGCCTTTTTGATAAAATATGCAACAATTTTAAAGTTATTAAAATGCTGTCTATAATTTACACATTAAATAACTGCATAGTAATTAGTTGTATTGAGTTAAATATTATTTAAAGACAGAATTTGCACTTTAATCCGCAGTTTACCTAGTTTTTCGTCTTGTTTGTTGTACACACTTGTTACCATATGTGTGTGCTCTACTGAGTGGTCCTTGAGTCAGAAAAAAATAAAGAAGAAAAACGAAACTAAGAGGGAAAACTGTCTAAAAGCTTGTCCTTTTTTTTTGTTGCTGTGAGAATTTTTTCTTGTTGCTTATTTCGGTCTGCGCCAATTTCAAAGGTAAACACGGGCCCGCACAGAAGTGCTTGCCAAACTGTAGGTTTGAGTGTTGTTTTCCTATCCCCCTCCTCGCCTGACCTTTTCTCAAAAATTTGAAGTATCTTTACTCTCTAGAGAGGTGATGTTCCAAAAAGAGAATAAAAATTAGACTAAAGAACAGCTTGAAAACAGCTTGTAAGTCTACGTCTTCAGAGTAAGAGAAAATTAAGCATAATGTTTAGTGAATTTAAAGAAAATATAAGGGAAACTTTATGAGTATTTGATATACGAAATTAGTTATATACAAAATTTTGGGGGGTTTAAAAGAGCATACAAAGCTGCTTAAAATAAGCCATACAAATTTAATTTGGTATTTTTAAATATGAAACTTATAAAACTTAGTTTTGAACCCTTTTGAAAGCTATCAAACCTTTTGATTTTATCACCCCTTAAATATAATAATAATAATAAACAATAATCAAGCAATTAACTTTCCTTTCTTACTTCTTTATTCCTTTCCTGACCATCTGTAATTACTGACATAGATACATCCTATGACTTTGAAAGCTCTTTCAATAAGACTACCCAAAAAGGACCTTCTCAGAACAAAAAGGGGTGATGGCAGGACCTTAATATAAAGTTTTTTAATTAACTCATGTAGCAACAGCTTTTCCCCCATTTTTTCTCAACCAACTCTCTTTGTTTTCCCCCAAAAACTGATCCGATCAGCGACGCCTTTAAACAAAAGCGAGAAAAGTGATGAAAAAGGTTAAGGAGAGGGTAGTGGGAAAAAAAGAATTAACAAAAGCAGGACCGAAAGTAATTATTGGCACATTTATGCAAGGACTCGTGCTCTCCGCCTTCCACATGATATTTTAAATATATAATTGCCCCGGCTAAAGTGCCCCCTGAAAATTTTCCACCCCCTGCTCGGGGAAAATTCACCTAATTGCGTTCACCCAACTCGCTCGGCTCGATAAACAAAAAAATAAACAAAAGCGAACATGGTTCGTGGTTTTTTCGGGGCCTCTGGCTTCTACCGGCTCTATTGCGAAATGCCCAGAAGAGCTCAAAATATATATATATATATGTATATATGAAAAAAAAGTACTACCCACCGACGACTGTCGAGAACAAAAAACATTTGTAAAAAAACTTAAAAATTGCAAACACGTCTTCATTGTTTACAAAATGTTGGCCGGAAACTGGCGCTTCAGGCTCGGCTTCAGCTTCCCTTTTCTGACTTTGTGTGAATCCCCCCCCATTGCGGCTCCGCAGGGGAACCCCCAAAAAACGCAGCGCTCCGAAAAAAAACGAAAGTTTAAATTTTAATTAAATCATGTTATATAGAATGATACACGTGGGACTTTTTCCGCCCAAATCGAAGAGCAGGAGAGCGGGAAAAGCGGGGAAAATCGGGAGGAAAAGCGGTGTGGAGGCCATCATAACCACTTGGGTACACAGTCAATGATGATGGCCTGCGATAAGCGCTCCGCAGGGTCTACTCAATCGGTGTGGAGGGACCATAAAAATTTCCCGAAATCAAGGATCCGCCTGAAAGTACACAAACTGATTGGCAGGAGCCTGGGGAAGATTTAATGCACTAGAAAAATTATATATTTATTTTAGGCAAATTTTTTGTAAAGGCTGCTGTGCATAAATTTCGATTTAATGAATGTAAATCATTTCAATATTGACCTGAAGTGGGGAGATATTTTTTTTTTAAAGAGCAAACAATTGAAGCGTAACTAAGTGCATTTTAAGAAATTTAAAAATAAGTTCAGAGATTTAAAAATGTATTGTATTATAAATGTGTAAAATTATTTATAGGAGTCTTGGAGTAATTTTAAAACAATTTTTGAAAATTAAAATTAAATATATAGTTAGTAAAATCTTTTTCTGGGAGTAAGAGTGAAAATTTAACTTGTTTAAAAACTATTTTAAAGGTTTTATGTCATATTCAAAGGGTAAAAATTATATCAAGGAGTAAAATTAAATAATTTTTAAAGAATTTAGACATTTTAACCATTTCAAATTATATAAATTATATCTAGGAATAAAAAGGAAATTTAAAATGATTTTAAAACAATCAGACTTTTAAAATATATAAATGAACTACAAATTATATATAATTCTCGGAGTACATTTAAAGTATTTTTAAAAATATTAAACACTTTAATGTGTTTAAATCATATAAATATTGAGATGGTTTGTAGATTCATAATTATAACAATAAAAGAGATTAAGAAGAATTTCTTTTACTCAAAACACATTTTATAAGCCCATTGAAAATCCATAAAATAATCTGGAAAGGTTCTCAGGCTTCTTTAATTCAATATTAAATATTGAAAAAAATTCCCCTCAACCTAAAGAAAATGATAAATGATTGGCAAATGTTTGCTGAAAAATTCTACAATTTAACCAGTAATTATGGAAAGTGACTTATGCTCCGACTGAAAGCATTTATCTTCAATTTTTTCGGCAAAGATTCAACGTTGCAAATGGATATATATGGACAGGAGATTCTATACAAATTTATCCAGCTAATGCCATTGCCTCGTCATTCCTTCATTCATTCATTCACAGGATCTACAGGAGCTACAGCTACATCCTCGTCGCTGGAAACGCAATCAACTGTTATAATTTCGTTTAAATCATCTCAAACACCTGTGCAGTCTCAAACGAATCCTGCTCCTGGTCCTGCTCCTGCTGCTCCACATCCTCCACCTCCACCTGCCGGTTTCGACAATGTGGAGGATGACACGGCACCCCTGCCCTGCCTACCAGCACCGCCACCTGGCTTTGGGACACCAACAACGCCCCATCATCTGTCGAGCAATGTGCTCAAGAAGGTCGCCAGCTTCACGGTCGAGAAATCGTCGGCGGGCAATTGCTCCACACCGAATGCCAATACCCCGCTGCTCTCCGAGGAGACAACGCTTCTGGCCACGACACCAACATCGTCGCTACTGGCAACCCAAAATCCAGAAATTGGAGGAGTTGGTGGAGCTGCCGGAACGGGCACCAGTTCGCGTCGCGGCTCATCTTATGTACCGGAAAAGTTAAGCTTCGCTGCATATGAAAAGTTTGAAGGTAAGTTTGCCGAAAATATTCGTGTTTAAATACTCTAAAGATGGAGGAAGTATGGGAGTTACCTTGAAAATGTGGGTGGAGTTTCTTGAGGAATTTATTCCGATATAATGGGGTGATTTTTTTAATTAATAAAATAATTAAAGATAGTCTAAGACTTTTGGTAGAAGTTTACTCTTACAATCCTTTCGAAAAAAGGGTTACTTAAGAATATATCTTATATAAAGGATTCCAATCTTAAAATATTGTATTGTTGACATAATCTTGAGCTTATTTTATTTAAAAAATAATTAAAGTCAGAAACTAACTAGAAACTTGCACATGATGAAGCTAAGAAGTTTTACTAAATTTATATATTTTTATATAAAATTATATATTTACACAGATTTAATTAAATCACTATAGTTGTTCCTTTATATTTTTAACTATTTAAGGGAGTCTTTTTAACTTAACTTTTTTACTTTTGAACTTAACTCTAACAATCTTTCCCAAAATACGATGCAAAAAGGGTTTTCTTTAAAGAAAATATTCATATTTTATAGGGCTTCCAATTTTAAAACTATTTTTTATGTAAACATAATTTTAGGGAGCTTTGTTTTAATTTGGAAACAACAACAATCTTACAATCCTTTTAAAAAGTTTCATTTAAAAAGGGTTTTCTTTTAGAAAATATCCATGTTTTAAAGATATCCAATACAAAACGATTTTAAATTGGAGTTACAGATACATTTTGGCAAATTAAATTTCGTACTTTATTTCTATTAGGAAATTCACATAGATTTGATTAAATACCTAAAAAAAACTGTAAAACCATTCTTTCTATAAGAACTATTATTTTTCCATCTAACTTGAATGCAGTTTTTCTTTCTCTCAAGATATTTCTGTCCTGCTTTTCCCCATAAAAAAAACCTTTAGAGTATTAAACCAGTGTTCTCTTTTCCTTTCGCCTTTTATGAGCTGCGCTTTATGCTTCAATCTGGGACTTCAGTGAAGCGATGCCGAAAGGCTGGGATATCGAGAAGGGAAATCCCAAGGAAAAAGGGATTTAAAGGGGGTTTCAGAAATATATACATATATATAAATGTAGATATATAAAAGGTAACCTCTGCGATTTCTGCGCATTTACTGTTTGCCTTTTGTGTCGTTTCACGGGAAACATTTAATTTTATTTCCCTTTCCGTGAACTCTTCCCTTTCGTTTCTCTTTTTTTTACTTCTTATATATTTTTTTTGTGCTCTGCTCCACGTTTGATTGCGTTTGTTGTTTGCTTAAAGTTAACAATTAATTTGCCTGCTTCAGCTTCAGTAAACTTACCCCCACCTCCCCGACCCCCTACTATTCTTGCAATTTTCCTCTTGGAAAATCAGTCAAGAAAGGCAAAGCCAAATCAAGTTGAATGATTGCATAATTGGGAAATTTTGTATGTAAATAGAGGAGAGAGCTGGCGAAAACTGGCGAGGTTAACATTTTCCCAAGTGTTTGAAGTGCACACGCACACACACACACATATATATATATATATATATATAGATATATAGATAGTATTTTCCTCTTTTCCACCTTGCCTCATGCTGAGCCTAGAAATATATGCATACTTTCGGCCAAGGCTTTAAATTCATCGTCTCCAAAGAGTCAAGAGACTGGAAATCTCAGGAATTTCAGTTGCTTAGGAATGGGAAATGCCACGCCCTCAAGCCAGACGGAAATATATATATATATATAGTCTCGGTACAGTTTTACTTCGATATATGAAACTAATAATAATTTTAATTTACTAAGTTAAAGATGATGAGACTGAAAAGAAAACTAATAAAAATCAGTTTAAATAGGTTTTATTTCGGATTATGCTTCAGGATTGCTGAAATTCGATTGATTTATGAAATGAATTGATTAAAAACATGAGAAAACTAAATCAAAAAACCATTTTAATTATTAAACTGCCTGAAAATAATTTGAAAACTAGGTTTTATGTTTATAACGTACCCACCGCAGGGCAAGTCTTTAAGTCTGTGACTTTGTCTAATGATAAATAGTTTAAAGACTTAAAAAATATTATAAATATTTATAAAATATAACCCGGTTAGAAAAAAATTTTCGAAATTTTTCCGTTTTTTCTCAAAAAAAGAAAGGGTTACGTCGTTAAAAATTTATAATTTTAATTATTTTTAAATTTACATTGAGTATGTAGTTTTAATATTCCAATAAAAACTAGCATAGGACAGCTTTTAGAATTAAAATTAAACCCTTTTTGGCTTAGTTATGAGTTTTTTAAAGATTTTGATTTATCGAAGAAATTGTTATATAAAAATATTATAAATATCGGTAGTAAAAATATGAATATTTAGGCTTACATATGATCAATTTCCCATTTAATCCTATATTTCCATTGAAAACGTTAAGGGCATATAAACTTAAGTTAGTTAGTTTAGTTTTCTTATTTCCCTCTTACAAAGTCTCCCCTGTAATCCAAAATATTGTCTCCTTCGCTTTCGAAAATTCCTTTTCGCCCAAATTCTTCTTCCTCCGTTTTTTTTTTTGGAAGCTAAACTATTTTCAAAAATTTTCCTCCATCTCCCCCCAAATATGGCTGCAAAACTTTCGCTTCAAACGCATCGCGGACATTTTGTAGGCGCAGTTTTTGACACATGCCACGCCTACATTGGGTGGCCGTCCCCCCCCCCCCTCGAAAAGCGCTAATTGGTAAGGCTCATCGCTGTCAGGATATAGGCGACCGAGGACACCCGTTCCTGATCCTCCATCATCATCGTCGTTGTCGTCTGCTGCAAATTAATGCAAACAAACATTTTAACGCCTCGCCGGGCAAACAACCAAAGAAGCAGAGAAGCTGCAGCAGGAAAAGCACCCAGAGGAGGGGAGGGGATGGAAAAACTGTGAGGGGGGAGATGGGGCTTAGCTGGACACGCAATTTGTGGTGCAGAGCAAGAAAATCTATGTAATTGTGGGAAGAAAGGAAGGGATCAAAGATACTTTGAAAAGCTTAGGAAAAATCTTAAAAAATGAGTTTGAAAATAAATTACTAATTTTAAAAATACCTTCTTAATTTTCCTTATAAGAAAATCCTCTGAAATCTTGAATATTAACACTAAGATTTTCTTTCTGTGCCACTTTGAGCTTCTCGCATTTTCCCGCCGTCGTCGTCATTGTCTCTGAAGTGGCCATCAATTCTTCGTGGCTTTTCCAGCAAGATTGTGGGGAGGGGGGGGGGGGAGTAGACTGGCTGAAGTGTGGAAAATTCTAGAGTGTGGGGGGGGGGCAAACAACAGAAGCTTTTTGTCGCGACTTTTCATCAGGCAACAACGTCCGGCACCGCTTTTTCGGACCAAAAATCTGATTTATATGCTTGACAACATCACGTTCGCCAGCTTCCCGCGGATGAAGAGATTCTGGCCAGGATGAGGGCAGCTGTCAAAGTTGAACTTTAAGGAGGAATCTCTGGTGGTGTTGCCTTGGTAAAGACCCAACATTAATGAAACAATATTTTGTTGTGATGAATATTACAAAAAGCATACTTCCGGTGTTAGTCAAAACCTTGTATTGCGATGTTATGTGGAGTTTGAAAGTAAAGGAGCTTAAATCTTATAGCAGATTTATTTTAAGAAATCTTTGTTAACTGTTTTTAAGCAATTTTAGGTTTTAATTTACCATATTCTAGAAAGAAAACGTTTTTAAAAAATAATTCTAGGTATTTCAAAGTCGTTTTTGATCTCTTTTTTTTGCTGCACTCTTAGTTGCATTCACTCCTTTGTATCCCTCATAGATGCTGCATCTGTCCCTCATTGCTTCATTTTGAGTTCTGCTTTTGTGGTTTTCTGGCATCGTTTCATTCTCATCCGTTTTTGTTTTCCGGTATGAAGACGGAGAGGAGTAGAGAGGGGGAGGAACGCCACTCTGTCGTTGATGAATGCAGCGCATGCATGCGTGAGGCGCCAAAAACCGCTGCCACCCAGCGTAGCGCAGCCCCCTTCCACTTCTAAGCCACCCCTCACTGCTCTTTAGAGAGCTATACACTGAAGAAAAATATTACGAAAAAAAAAATTATTTAAAAGGGTTTTAGAGGAAGGTTATCAACATTTGATACTTTTAACCCAAGGATTTTGTTGTGTTTTATATAAATATAAATAAATAATTTAATATATACAGATAAATTAAAACTATTATATGCCAGAAACCAAAAGCTTAAATATTTAGCTGATCAATAATAATTTAACCTTTTTTTTTAATAACGTATCAAAGAATTCTTAATTTTTATGTATTTCAATATTTACAAATCTCATAACTATGCCAAAAATGTATTAATTTCAATTCAAAAACTTTCCTATGCCCGCTTTTATAATGGCAACAAAACTGCGTACTCAATTTAAAATGCAAATTTGTGATTTTTGACAATTTTAATGATGTAACCCCTTATCGTTTTTTGCAAAAATCGATAAATTCAAAAATTTTTCAACGGACATACTTAGATCGATTCAGCTGTTCATGCTGATCAAGAATATATATGATTTACGGGGTCGGAAATGACTCCTTCACAGTTTAACAAGCTTGTGACTAAACTTACAATACCACACTTTTGTCGGTATTTGTCTATATTTTATAAACAATTTTGTCAATAAATCAAATTTTAAAAATCTCATAACTATGCCAAAAATGCATTAATTTCAATTCGGAAACTTTTTCAATTTTTTTTTTTGCTGTGTAAATTCGTTGTTGCATTCGCTTGGCGAACAGTTATGCAAATTTGTTGTGCGTCTCGTCCGTGGTGCAGTTTTCATCAAAACCCGTTCGCCACAACGTCGCGATGGCGCCAGCAATAAGGCCAAAAACAACAAATAGGAGCTGCAACAACAATAAAAATAGCAACAAAAACGACAACAACAATAAGAATTTAGAGGAGCAAACAACAAAAGAGATACCGCCCGCTGATGATGAGGCCAACGATGACCGGCTAAGCTGGCACTTCCTTCCTGCTGCTCCTGTCCTGCTGCTCCTGTCCTTCTCCTCCTGTTCCTATTCCTGGTTTTAGCCCTATGGAACTCTTGGCCATCATCGATAGCCCAATGGCCATACTTGGCCGCAAACTTTGCATGTGGTGTGTGCTAATGATCTTGTGAGCCCAACTGCATTTTGGCCAAGGGATGCGATGGAGTGATGGGTAACTATGGGATATAGGATACAAACAGAAGAAGAATATATGTAGATACTATTTGGGGGTTACAGATTCGTTAATGGGGGAACTGGTGGTTATATCATATAGTATTCCGATTTTAAACTAAAAACGAAAATCTATAATAATAAAAGATAGCTTTGAATCAAATTAAGTAAAATATGTTAAAAACTGTAAAGTTACAATTTCCCATTCAGCGCGTTGCAAACTACTGACTGAAATTATAATACCCTGCAAGGGTATAAAAAAGACAAAAACCAAGGGTCAGTATGTTATATTATTGATCAATATTACGGATTTATCACATATTTTTTACTAACTCAAATTCTCATTATTCCAAAATAAACAATGAGACCTTTCCCTACGCTTCTCAAAAAACAAATTGTGCTTGCTCTCTTTTACTCTCTCTCAAAAATAATACTTTCCTCGCATTCACTCTTTCTCAAAAAGTGCCCTCCTCTGCGCTTCTCAGCCAGTGTACTTAAGCACCGTAGCAAACACAATTATTTTTGTTCTTCTTCTTGTTCCTTTTAAAGTTTCTAATTAAATTTCAGTTTAAATCCAACCTTTTGCTATTATACAATTTGTGTTAAATCAATGTTTCCTATCACAACTACTACTCTCAAAAAAGTGCCCTCCTCTGCGCTTCGCAACCAGTGTACTTAAGCACCGTAGCAAACACAATAATTTTTGTTCTTCTTCTTGTTCCGTTTTAAAGTTTCTAATTAAATTTCAGTTTAAATCCAACCTTTTGCTATTATACAATTTGTGTTAAATCAATGTTTCCTATCACAACTACTACTCTCAAAAAAGTGCCCTCCTCTGCGCTTCTCAACCATTGTACTTAAGTACCGTAGCAAACACAATTATTTTTGTTCTTCTTCTTGTTCCTTTTAAAGTTTCTAATTAAATTTCAGTTTAAATCCAACCTTTTGCTATTATAAATTTGTGTTAAATCAATGTTTCCTATCACAACTACTACTAAACAAAATCCCACTAAAACAGATGCGAACTCCGTAGCCTTGTCTCTGGTACTCCACCAAGCCTGCAGAGAGAGTGTAAGTAACAAATCATTTAACTCCTTGGGGATACTGATGATCTTGTGATTTAAGAGGCTGTTTATGTGGGAATATTTAAAGGGAAAAGTTTTTATTACTAATGTTCATAGATACTACTGATCATAGTTAATAACTGGTCATAGATACTTACTGATTATAGTTACTTACTGTCATAGATACTTTCTGTTCAGAGTTACTTAATGTTCATTAAATCCTACTGATCATAGTTAATTACTGGTCATTGTTATTTACTGATTATAGTTAATAAATAGTCCGATTGTTCCTATGTCAGATATATATGTATATATGTATATATATAGTCCACCGATTTGCCAGCTCCACTTATATACTAGTAAAATTATAAAGATCATTCAAATAGCTTCCTCTTAAATTTGTTCCAAAAAAATCTCGCACATGCTTATGATTCTCAACTTGTTTTAACATCCCCGGAACGAAGTGACTTCTGCCGGCCATGTCTCAGATAAGTGTTGTGCTTCAAAGTTGCAAGTCATTGTTTATTAGTGTTCAAAGTAGTAACTGATTATACATACTTACTGATCATAGTTACTTACTGCCATAGATATTTATTGATCAAAGTTACTTTCTGTTCATAGATACTTACTGATCATAGTTACTCACTGCTCTTAGTTAATTACTGATGAAGGATACTTACTGATCCTCATTTAACAACCGTTTCTCTGACGGTTATATTATTGGTCGGAATGACTCCGTCGTTGCGTTTTAAACTTCTGACTGAAATTTTAATACCCTGCGAGTGTATAAAAGGAAACTACAATCTCTGAGTGCACTATAATTTTATAGATTTGCGTCACTTAATCTTCAAATGGTTGGCCCTATCAAAACCGATTTAATCTATCACTATTCACTTCAATTTCGTAGACAGTATCAGTCAAGCTTTTCCCTGCTATCTAAAGTCTCAACGCCAGTAAAGTAAAGTGTTATTTAAAGATAAAGCCAAAATGAAAACCAAAACAAACCTGTATAAATTAAAAGAAAGTACAAATAAACGTTTGAATCAGTTGATTTATGCTGAAATTTAACCGTCGATGATTAAGGAAAACAATGACGTACTTAGCAATTTTTCGCATTTCCTAATACATTGATTGAACGAATTTAGCAAATGATTCAGAGACGCAGAGTGGGGTAACCAAAAAGAAATATAAAACCGTGACTGATAAAGCAGACGACCTTGTCAGGGCCAAAAGAATACGAGGCCTAGGTCTCTCTAATATACTGCAGTATTATCAGTGCACTGGAGATATTAATATATATTGAGGAAAATTTTAAATAAATCATAATAAAATAAAATTATATTAAACGAGGTTTTTCTTCAGATTAAATATAAATTAATTTATAATAAATATAATTACAGAAATGAGAGTTGAAGGGTAGATATGATATAATGATTTAGAATTACAAATTATAATAGGAAGTTCATTATATATATTGTGAAAACCCAACCCCACGCTAATATCTCATTAAAAATATCGAAAATTTGTTATCTTATATTTTAGATATAAATAAATATCATATTTTACCAAAAATGTATTTGTTTTCTATTATATTGATCCAATATAATATTTCAATACAAAAATTGTGCCTAATATTATATACATATCATCGTTTCCGTACAATAGAAACTCTTGTAGATTATAGATACCTTATTGATTTATGAATCTTTTTGTTCCTCCCTGAAGTAACTTTATTTTCTTAATTAAATTTAAAAAGGTTCTCTCACTGTACTAACCAAACGTAGCTGTGTTGTCATGTTCCGGCTGACTGATAATACTGATAAGTTTCGACATATTTCAATTTTTTTTCTCCGCTCCGCAAGCAAACAACAAGTAGACTCAGTGAGAATTGAAATTAGCCGGAGAAAGTTCAGCTAGATCTCTGCCGATCTAGTAGTGAATATATAGTATATACCCAGCTATATGTCCAGTGCCTTGAGCAACGTTTGGTGCTCACTGCTGGCCAAGCAGCCCTCAAAGGACTTCGAAATCGATGCGGAAATAGAACCACGGCCATTGGCTTTGAAATGGGATTCCCAGGAGGATGTTGCCAGGATGCCAGCAGCACATTATCTTCAGCTAATGTCATTGGCCGCCCGCCGGGTGCAGAAAACTCGATTTTCGAGGGGAAAACAATTGGAAATGGGGCAGGAGTTGGTGGAGTAACAGCACCTGATGTCGAATCTCTGGGCTTGCAGGACTCTGAGGTCTGGGCGGGAATTAGCCTACGCATTGTGCTGCGGCTTCAAGTTGACCTGCTGAGGACCTCTGACCCGAAACATCTGCTCCTGCTGCTCCTGCAAACTGTTTCCACTCACACGCTGACAGCCAGCGTAAGTTTTTCTTTCTTTTTTGGCTACAAAAAAGTTTTTTCTTACTTATGAGAGGGTTTCTCTACTATGGGTATCGTTTTGATGGTTTTAATATATATATTCTGTGATCTTAATATGTATAATCGATTAAAAATCACTATACCTATCTTAAATGTCTCAACTTTGATTAATTTTTGTTAATTTGTGGACTTAAAACCTTTCCATTTAACAACCAGTTCTTGTATTTATCTTATCACAAACATTAGTCATGCGATTTTATATTGTATTGTCAAGAAAGTCCACTGATTAAGTGACTTCAGAAAGTATATATGATGTAGAAATAAGAAAAGAATAGATATTGATTCATTTACAAGAATTTATCTAGATTTTAGGAAGATATCTGTAGAAATAAAGGAGACTTTTGGTAACAATATTCAATTTATATAATCATTATATAACTCATTTCTTGGATCTTATATATAAACCTTTACCATTCCTCAGAAACTGTATTATATATTGCAGAGTATCCATTTTTTTGTGACCTCATCGATTAGGATTATTTTCACAACCAGCTTGTAGTCTGACTTTTAGTCCAGAAAATTATTTATTCTGTTTTTTTTTTTTTTGGGAAATCTCAGCTTGGGAGTTCCTTTACCCCCAGGCGTCTCTCACCCATAAATCTCTCTGGTTAGTGGCTACAAGTTTTCCTCTTTTTTTTTGTCGGAAACCCACTTGGAGTGAGAGAGTGAATAAGTGGACCAGCTGTGATCAAAGTTATTTCATTCAGTTACAACTGACTTTCTCCCTTTTCCTCCCTCTTTCCTTGCAGGTCAAATGCTGATGAAATGGCTAATCTCAACGATGCAGAGCAACCCGAAGAGTCCTGCCAATGAGTGCTTCAACCAGGATAATTCATTCTTCAATTCTCTGGCTATGCAATTCTGCAATAATCTCAAATATGTCGGTGTCCTCAAGCAGATCTCCAGTGAGCATTTGGATGGCGGATTTAGCGTAAGTTCAATGCACTTTTATTCCCGGAAATTGGTCATCTGTAGTCAAGGGGGGAAGGGTGGGTGCTAACTGAACGGAAGTTGCCACGGCGCTAAAGGAAATGATGACAGCAGCGCGTTTAGAGTCATGGCCAGGACCAGGACCAAAAACGGATGACAGCTAAACTAAGTTTCAAGTCATTAGCGTTTCAGGAAAAACTATTGATAATGACATCCGCCAAAATCCACTGATCGAAAATATTAGTTAACTCAAAGAGAACCTAAGGATTTAGGTTTGAATTTTTATTAGTCAAAAGATGAAAACTCCTCTTGAAAGCTTCCTTTATAATCTGTAAACTTTCGACAGCCTAATTGAGTCCAATTTTGTCCTGTGTCCTGTGTCCTGTGCCACCAACAGTTATATCCCTTAGGCCTTGGAAAAGGACCTTCAACTTACGGCCTCTGTGCATAATGTTACTCATACGCAGCGTTGTCCAGCGCTCACTCGTTCGCTCGTCGAAGTTCCTGCGCAAAAGTTGTGCAACACTGAACCGCAAAGTTGTGCCCGGAAATTAGCAATTCCATTGCAAAAAAAAAAGTGGGGAAAAAGACAGACCAAGGGGCCAAGCCTTAGCTGCACTTTCATTTTAACCGAGCCACAGCGGTTGTCCATCTAACCCTTGCCACGTCCGCTCCCTTCCCACATCGGGATGGGATTGTTGGGGGATTCCCCCTCTGCCTGCAAGTGTCAGAACTTGTTAAAACTTTACAGTCGGTACAGCCGTCAACTATCAAAAAGCCAAGTTCTCTCTTGGCTGCATTAACAATTTTTCGCTTTTGCTGTTGATTTGGTTTGTTTTGCTGCATGCAAAATTATGAAACCAAAGTTGGGGTACACAGAGTGAAAATTTGTGGACTGCACAAAAAATATATACTTTTCTCTTATTAAAATATTATATGAATATGATTTAATTTTCAACTCAATTCATTCTATAACATGTCTATAAGAATTTCTCATTATTCTCCTATATTATATTTCAAAGATATTCTAATGTTAAAGTCACGTAATGCCGCTTTTAATTGTCTTCAATTGCTTTTCTATATTTCATAGAATATTATATACCAAATATATTTATTTCTCTCCATTAACCTCTTATAACTTGTTTATTAATAATTTAAAATCAAAATATTAATGATTTCTTTCACTTAAAATTTATAAATAACATTACAGAACAGTCACAGCTATTCTTGATTAATTAAACATTAAAAAACAGAAGGTAATTGTAAACATTTTTAGACATACCTTCTTAGTTTTATTAATTAATAATATAATTAAAAAACTTACATTTTTCAATTTATCCCCAGTGCATTGAGCAATAACCGAGCCCTTTTAATATCTCCCTGGGAAAAAGGCCAGTTTCCTTTATTTTCTTTTCTTTTTTTTGTGTTAGCCAACTCATTCCTTTTGTGCCAACTCTTTGGCCAGCATCTGGCGATGGTCATCTTCATCTGCCGCTGCCGGGCCTAATGGACTCCATAATAGTTTTGGCCATATCGGGTACAGTTTAGCCAGGCATTTAGCATTTTAGCATTTTAGCATTATAGCATTGCTCTTGACAGAAAGCTAAATAAACAAACGCTTCCAAAGGGAAAAGCGGAATGGGAGGAAAATCAGCAAAAGCTTTAATTGCCCCAGTAGAAAAAAAGGCCAAGGAAGCTGTTCCATTTCCATTTCGAGGGCTGTAAACCGAGACCCAGTTAAGTGTTATTAGACAGGCGACAGCAGGGACAAACAAGAACAACTGCAGCAGGAGTGGGAACAGGAGCAGGAGGACTCACAGGATAACAGGAACAACAAATCCAACAACATTGTACAACAACCAAAAACCACCGCAAATAATGAAGCACTGGAATATAGCCCTCAAATTAGTTTAGGCCAAAAGTTTTAGCCACAGCAGCTTAACCTCAAATCCCTAAGAGCGAGATAGAGAGACAAACTCTATCTCTCTCTCTCACACACACTCCTAGTAAATGGCAGACGCCAGACGACACCGTTAAGTGATTTTCTATGTGATGATACTTGAGCTCAAGATTATGATATCACAAATTTCTTCAACTGGCTGCCAAGTGGAAAGGAGCAGTGTTGCAGAGTGATATATATACATCTATATTATATATATAATATATATATATATATTTATATATATACATATATCCTTAGGTATGGGAGGGGTGTGTGTGTTGACGACGTCTCCGATGTCTCCGAAATGTGTGTTCGAACTTTTTGGGCAACAGGCCAGCGCACAGTTGGTAGTTAGAAAAGGATAGATGGATAGATAAAGAGGTGGGAAAGAGAGAGAAGAAATAATGCCAAAGGTTCGTTGTTCGACGTTGACTTTAGTTTGTGTTTTATGAGTACAGTAACCGCTATTTGGTAGTTTTATTATTTAGAGGTACTGAATAAGGGTTATTTAAAAAAAATTGACTACAGGTTTTATTTTCTAAGGAATTTTATGAGACATATTTATAGTTTATATAACACTTATTAGAGGAAACTTAAAATTTCCAAGAGGAATATGGTATAGAAATTTGTTATATTTAATTCTAACTTTAATTCTTATGATATTTTAAGAATATATGCTAAATATTTTGTTATTATTATACCCTTGCAGGGATTATAATATCAGTCAAAAGCTTAAACACAGTCAAGGAATTAAATCCGACCCTTTAAGGTAGCATCAACAGCCGAGTCGATCTAGTCATGTCCGGCTGACAAATAATTTTTCGAAATTTTCCCAAAAAAAGTTAGGAGTTTCATCGTTAAAATTTTCGAAAAATTGATAATATTTTAATTATCTTACATTTAATTGAAGAGTATGCAGATTTTTAAGCTGAAAAAAACTAACCGCTTTCCGAATTGAAATTAATACTTTTTGACTTAGTTCTGATCGACCTCAGTTTAATGAAAAGATCCAATTGCAATTTTTAAAGAAATAATGTATATTAAAATTATATTAGTTATTTATTGTTTTTAAGGTGGGTTTGAATAATTATTGTGCAAATTAATATACAAATTTAACATGAAAAGAATACAATTGTTTTTCAAATTGTAAAGAAACTATTTTAGTCTCGCTAAACATTTCGTAAATTTATTTGAAATCTATATTTTTTAGTAACTATAGTTTTCCATTTTAATTTCTTTAATTTATTTCTACATTTTCATTATTTCCAGTGACTACTGTATCCTTTATCCTTTTTTTTACGCCATATTCCCTTCTGTTTCTTCGTGTTATTGTTGTTGCCAGCTCATTGAAAGTTTGTGCGTTTTTATTACTTTGAGTCGAAAGTTTTTCCCCCAGTTTTCCCGCCCCTCCTCCAGCTTTCCCTGCCCACCCCTCCATCTGTTAGTAGTATTATTCTTTTGGGTCTGCCGGAACAAACGAAACTTTGATGCAGAAATGAGCAAAACTGGATTTGAATGTGCAATGTAACTAACACTGAGTGTGTGTCGATGTGTGTAGGAGGAGCGTGTTCGATTGTTCTTTAACTAAATATACATATATTATATGTATATATATATATGTATATATATATATATATGTATATATATATAATATATTTGGAATGAGATTTGTGATGGTTTATATCAAGTGGCTCTGATGGGATTAGATTGAATAGATTTTGATGTTGTTGTTAATTAAGTGGGAATTGGGAAAAAGGCAAACTAGAAATTTGGCTAAAACTGCGTGTGTGTTCTAATCGCTTATTAAGTGTTGAATTTGTCGGACATTTAAATATATAAAGCAAAATGTTGTTAAAACAATTTAATCCTTGGAAAATATACGTATATTTGAGGTTTGGTAGGATTTGAATTGTGGATTAATTAATAGTTTTTAAAATAAAGTTAAAATTGTTTTAGAATCAGCTGGAATGAGAAAAAATTCTAATATATGGAAACATGAATTTGATTGTTTTCTGTTTTATTAAGCATAAATTAATGTAGCATTTTAATTATCAAAATCAAGATTTTAGGAGTTTTTTAAGAGGATTGACTGGATTTTTTAATGATTCTTTAAGGTGGTTTTAAGAACTTTTGGATAATTTTATGTAAGGTTTTAGGTTTTTAAGAATCAAATTAAGAGTAGCCTTGACAACTAATTTTCATTTCTTATATTAAACGCAATCCTTTAGTTTTTAATTTCATTTATTTTTTAATATTTTACCTTATTACTTAAATTCCCAAATCCAATTTTACATTTCCCAGTTAATTTTCAAGCTTTCCTTATGATTTAAGTGTTTTAAAGAACCAAAGTAAAAGTAGCTTTGAAAACTAAGCCAAAGTATAAAGATTTATTAAACCCATTCTTAAATTTGTATATAATTATTACCTTAAATTTTCCAAATGTGATTTAAACATTTCCTCAGTTAATTTTCAAGCTTTCCTCTTATTTTTCGGTCACTGCACTTGGCATTTCTTTTACTCCAACTCACCTCAATGTGGTCTCTTATGGTTTAGGGTTTTTGGTTCTATTTTATTTTTTAGCTGCGCATTTTCTGGTGTGTGTTGTTTTTAGGGAGGGGTGTGTTGAGTGGGGTGTGTTGTGTGTGTGGTGTTTTGCTGCTTCTGGTTACTTGCAGGTTTCTTAGGTAACTCTCCCTGGGTCCGCTTTGGTTCTTTAAAATGTGCAAACAACATGCAAATCGCTGGCACCACCAGCCCAAAGTGCAAACACTTGGGCACAAATGGTGTAAAGTGCGATAAACTCAACCGATTTGCCCTGCAACGTATATATATATGTATATATATCTTTATATATCTCTATATATATACCCTTATAAGATACTTACTGTGTGTGAAAGTGTGTTTTCATCTGCAAAATCAGGCGTCGGGCCGAGCTGTTGCACTTGATTTGCATTTGTCAAGTTTTCAAGTTCTTTGACTGATTAGCGTTGAGTGGGTGTGTGTGAGGGTGTGTGTGCGGGTGTGTGTGCTTAAACGGCACTTGTAACGGCATAATTAAATTGCAATTTTAATTGCATTTGTCAGGGCAAGTTGTGTGGGAAAATTTGACCCTAATTAGCAGTTCTTTAAAGGGATTTTTCGAAAAGAAGTCTTAATTAATGTAGTTATTATTTGAGGAAAATATTGAATTTCAACTTTAAACTTGAGATTATTACGGAAAATATTGAATTTAAATTTAAATTTTAAATGTATACATTTTCCTATACTTATTCTCCTTACTTTGCTTTTAAATCCATCTCCATGCTTCTATATCCTCACAAACCCATAACAGTTTTCACTGCTTTCATATTCTTTAACTTCATGACAACAAGGAAAAGGACAATTCCCACAGTGGGACTGAAAAGTCAGCATCGTCAACAAGGACATGCACAATCAAAATCAAAGGAGTTTTGCATGCAAGAAAATAGTGAAGAAATATAGCGAACTTTTAGCCGAATGGGTGCTTTTAAGCTTTGTCGCTTGTCGCACACTGGAGACCCACTGGCAGCTATGCACTTACTTCTATAGTTTATATAGTTTTTATTTTTCTTTATTTTTTTTGTCCCACTCGACTGGCAATTAGAAGTTATAGGTAGTACACAAGGAATAATCATAAATATATAGCTTTAAGGGGGAAATTTATATTTAACAATTAAAGAAACTAACTTTTGGAAACTGAAGTTTGGAAGTATTGCAATTGTATTCTAGGATCGAATCAGCAAACGATCATAACTAAGCTTTAAATATATTAATATTTTTTTAATCATTATTTTTTTACTTTAATAAAACAAATTTTTTCATAAATCAAATGCTTAAAAATCCATAACTAAGCCAAAAATGCATTAATTTCGATTCGGAAAGCTGCTCTATGTTAGTTTTTATTAGGTTTATAAATCTGCATACTACATTTAAAATTTTGTAAAATTCCAAATTTTATCATTTTTTTTAATTTTTAGCGCTGTAACTAACCTCTTAAAATTTTTTGAAACAAATTAAAAAAATTGTTTTCCACCAAACATAGCTAGTTCAAATCGACTGCTGATCCTGATCAAGAATATATATGATTTATAGGTCAGAAATGATTCCTTCACTGGGTTTTAAGCCTATGACTAAAATTATAATACCAAAGGTATAAATGTTTATGCACCTTTATTATAATGTGCTCTTAACTATAATCTTACATTATTTCCTGTTCAAAAAGAGGAAGCCCGTTTACTATCCTAAAAGTAATAGGAATTAATTTCCTCTAATTTTTGTATTTCTTATTCCTTAACTTAATCTCTAGTACTACCAATTTCTAACAATTTTCCTTACAATTTAATTCCAACCCTCAGCCCTATGAGATGTACCAATGGACCCATACGGAACAGCCGACGACATCGCTCCCACTGACACCCGGCAAGCTGGACAAGGTGGCGGCCTGGCCCTTCTCCAGCACACCCGCTGGACTTCGAACATTGGAAGCTAGCTCACTGGCGGGAACAGGAGCTGGAGCTGCTGGTGCTGGTGCCTTGGGAGGAGCTATTGCCGCCACCTCAGGGACTGGGACATCCACAACAGCGATACCCGATAGCCAGAAGACGCTGCAGCAGATCCTGAAGAAGCGTCTGCTCAACTGCTCCACGCTGGCCGAGGTGCATGCGGTGGTCAATGAGCTGCTGAGCAGCGTGGATGAGCCGCCGCGACGCCCTTCCAAGCGGTGTGTGAATCTCACGGATCTGCTCAATGCCAGCGAGGCAACCATTTATGAGTACAATAAATCCGGAGGAGCTAACTCGGGATTGAAGACTTACGCGGAAGCAGGGACACAAACGGAAACGGAAGTGACGGAGTGCAAGGGTTCCTGCAAATGTGGTGAATCCCCGAAAGAAAGGGATACCACGGCTAAGGAGAAGCAGAAAACTGGAGCTGCTGCACCGCCTCCTCCGCCACCTCCTCCGCCGCCGGCTCCAGCGCTTGCTGGTCCACCGCCACCACCTCCTCCGCCGCCTGCCTTTGGTATACCTGCGCCACCGCCCATTCCTGCACCGCCCCGAGCTCCTGGAGCTCCACCACCTCCACCGCCGCCACCGGGCAGTGGTGCCGCCCCGCCTCCACCGCCTCCTGCTCCAGGTGGACCAGGCGCACCTACTCCGCCGCCCATGAGCCCGTCCGATTCCGCTAAGACGCTAAACTCACCCGCCCCGCTGCCCGATCCCGCCGAAGGGAACTGGTTCCATCGCACAAACAGTGAGTATAAATTAAGTATATGATGTAGTAGTCAGATTTTCATAAAATTTGACACAAAATTCTAGATTAATATATAATGGCTATATACTAGATTAGATGAAAATCTGTTGAAAACTGGAAAAGTTATAATATTGTCTTTTTAAATTTTCCAATCGTTCCTATGGCAGCTATATATATGTATATATATACACATATAAATAAATTCCACCGATTTGCCATGCTCCGACTTATATACTAGTAAAATTGAATAGAAGAATAACTCCATAGTTTTATTCAAATAGCTTGCACTTAAATTTTATCCAAAACAAATCTCGCACATCTGTACTTATGATTCCCAACTCGTTCTAACATCCCCGGAACGAAGTGACTTCTGCCGGCCATGTCTCAGAACTGTGTTGTGATACAAAAGTTGCAAGTCATTGTTTACTAGTGTTCAAAGTTAGTAACTGATTATACATACTTACTGATCATAGTTACTTACTGTTCAGAGTTACTTACTGCTCATAGGTAATTACTGGTCATAGTCACTTATTGAACATATTTGCTTAATGTTTATAGATACTACTTACTGTTCATAATTACTTACTGGTCATAAATACTTAGTGATCATAGTAGTAAGTTATGCTTGCTCTTAAACTTACATTTATTATATATATTTATTTCTAAAACTTATTTATTCCAGCTCTGCGCAAAAGCGCTGTTAACCCGCCGAAGCCCATGCGTCCCTTGTACTGGACACGTATAGTGACGAGTGCCCCACCAGCGCCACGTCCCCCCTCCGTAGCCAATTCCACAGATTCCACTGAGAACAGTGGGAGTTCTCCGGATGAGCCGCCAGCTGTGACAAGTGTCGATGGAGCTGCAGGAGAAGATCCACCCACAAAGGAGATCTGGACAGAGATCGAGGAGACGCCCCTCGATAATATCGACGAATTCACGGAGCTCTTCTCACGCCAGGCCATGGCGCCGGTCGCCAAACCCATTGAACTGAAGGTCAAGCGAGCCAAGTCCATCAAAGTTCTCGATCCGGAGAGTCGCGAAATGTGGGCATCATTTGGAAAAGTTTACACGTGACATCCCGTGAGATCGAGCATGCTATATATCATATAGACACCTCGGTGGTCAGTTTGGAAGCCCTGCAGCACATCCGGAACATGCAGGCCTCGGAGGATGAGCTGCAGAAGATTAAGGAAGCAGCTGGAGGCGATATACCCCTCGATTTGCCTGAGCAATTCCTGCTGGACACCTCACTGATATCCATGGCCAGCGAGAGGATTTCCTGCATTGTCTTCCAGGCGGAATTCGAGGAGTCCGTAACACAGTTGGTTCGGAAAATTGAAACAGTGACTCAATTATCGCGACAATTAATCGAAAGCGAGGATCTGAAACTGGTTTTCTCCATTATCCTGACACTTGGCAACTATATGAACGGAGGTAATAGACAGCGCGGCCAGGCCGATGGCTTTAACCTGGACATCTTGGGTAAACTGAAGGATGTGAAGTCCAAGGAATCGCACACCACTTTGCTCCATTTCATTGTGCGCACATATATTGCGCATCGGAGAAAGGAGGGAGTGCATCCATTGGAGATTCAATTGCCGATACCAGAGCCACCGGATGTGGAGAGAGCGGCGCAAATGGATTTTGAGGATGTGCAAAGGCAAATCACCGAACTAAACAGGAGATTTGCAGGTGGGTTTAAATATATCAATTTATATTTTACAATTAATAATTATAAATATTTATTTGCAGGTTGCAAAAGAACCACAGCCAAAGTCTTGGCCGCCTCTCGTCCCGATATACTGGAGCCCTTCAAGTCTAAAATGGAGGAGTTTGTTGAGGGAGCAGACAAATCCATGGCCAAGCTACGTCAGTCCCTCGAGGAGTGCCGCGAACTATTCCTGGAAACAATGCGGTTCTATCACTTTTCCCCTAAAGCCTGCACTCTAACCCTGTCCCAGTGCACGCCCGATCAGTTTTTTGAATACTGGACGAATTTCACCAATGATTTCAAGGACATTTGGAAAAAGGAGATCAACAATCTTTTAAATGACTTGTAAGGAAAAAACTGATCCTCTAAAAATTAAAATTTAAAATTAAATTTTATTTGCAGAATGAAGAAATCAAAACAGGCCCAAATCGAGTCTCGTCGCAACGTCTCCACAAAGGTGGAGAAGTCCGGACGGGTTTCTCTAAAGGAACGCATGCTGATGAGGCGCAGCAAAAACTAAATTAACTATCTCTATCTCTCTGCCCACAACGCAATGATATATTTTTTAATTGTGGTTGCATTTTTTATCACGCATTATTGCTAAGCAAATTTCTCGTTACATGGATTCATTCTCTGCTATTTTTTAAGTTACAAAACTGTATAAAATAAATTTAAAAGGAAAACAATCTACAAGCATGACTCTTTAAATAAAAGTTCTCGTAGTGTTGTGATTGTAACATTTATTGTTTTTAATTGTACTTTAAAACCGATGGCTTGAATTAATGCAGTTATTAAATCAATTTGTTTTTCTTTTTAAATTCAAATTCAAATCTCAGTATGTTTTTGTTATTTTCGAACACTGATTGCTAGCAGTCTCTAGTTATTTTTGGTATTTTTCATCAAGCCTTTTTTTGGTAGTTTTTAAAAATAGCAACGGTCACACGAATCCAAAAACCAAAACAAATCTTTGGCAATTTCATAAATTTACGTTTTTATCAAATAATAAACGCTTTCAAAATGCACCGCTCCCATCCGAGTATTAGTCGCCGCAAGCACCTGATGAAGGAAATGATGGAGGACGACTATGCGCTGCCCACGGAGCAGCAGCAGATCGTGCGTGTGGTCAGCAGCCGGGGAAACAATCTCCACGAGGTGGAAACGGCCAAGAGCGAGGCGGAGGAGAACTTTTGGGTGAGTGCGGGGAAGAAGCAGGAAAATCCAATTTTAGTAATAAAATAAATACTTTCCTCTTTCAGTTTCCATGCCCAACAAATTCCGCAAAAGTATGTGGGTGAAACGTGGTGATTTCCTCTAATAGAACCCATCGAAGAAGGGACAAAGTCAAGGCCGAAATCTGTAAAATCCTTACCACCGACCATGTCAAGAATACACCAAGCTGGCATTTGGCCGGAAAAGTTTGCCAAAAAACCCGCGCAGGAAGAGGAGCTACCAAACCAAAATCAAGAGGATTCCGATTTCGAGGATGATCTATGCCCAACACAAATCGTCCGCAGGAATCCTCTGAAGAGGAAGAGGACGACGAGGATACGTCCAGCGATGAAGACTGACATCCTTAAGGTACACAAATTCTGTAATTTAAGATTTTTTAAACGTCTCACAAAAATTAAAACAAAAATGGTTCGCTGTAGTTACTATTGCTAAACCAAGTTGTTAATTTTTTAAAGGCTTGTAAGTGGCCAATTTGAAGTTAAAGATTTATTTAACTTAAATTAATTTAATTATTTAATAAAATTAATTAAAAACGGTTTTAAATAAAGAAAAATCTAATTTTTTATATTGCAAAACTTGCTCATATCATTTTTTTAACAAATCTTTAAAAAATACATACCTTTTTTATCATTCAGCGACATTTCCATATTTTCTGCTATATCCCATAGAAACAGTGTTTTGTTTTACAAAAATGTAATTTTGTATTTATAATTTGTTTCATAAGTTCTTTTTTTTTGCTGCATCTCTCCGTCTCCCTCACCTTTACTACACTTCTCTCATACATTTAACAAAAAATTATCATTTTGGTGTCTGCTTGCTGGTGCTACTGTTAAGTTTCAACACAACTGAGCTCTAAAAATTGTTGCAAAAGCTACACAAAAAGCCTACACATGAAGTAATTAATTAGCGCCGAGATCGGATCCTTAAAGCGTTTCATCGTTTCTTAATTGGAATTTGTTCTCTTCTATGCATCGGATTCGAGTTGAGATGGCTCGTTGTTCTTCTTCAGTTCCACCTCATTGTTGAGTTCCTCGATTTTGACGCTCATTGTTTCGTGCTTGGATTCCAGGGCCAATGTTGAGGGTCTTGGTTTCGTGAAGGGAAAGTTGGTGAGGTCCTCTATCTGCGGCGTGTGCACAGCTATCAAATCCGTTTGAGTGGAGCTGCAATCGATGATCTCGGCCTGCTTCTTGATCGCATCCTGGGGCAGATTGCACACCATGGTCAGGCAATTGACAATGGTGCCAATGGAGCTCTGTAATATTTGCACCTGATCGGTGAGCATGGTGCAACGCTTGGCCAGATCATTAACCACCGAGGCCGAGTTTGGATCAAGACTCATGTGGCCAGAGGAGCTGGATCCACCACCATTGGAGTCCTGCTCGCCCTCCTTCTGATCAGCGGCGGGTATTCCCTTCGAAACAACCTCCATGGTGGACACCTTCTTCCACAGCGCACTGATGGCCTGCATCTGCAGCTGCTGGATCTCGCGCTCCTTTACAAGATGCGCCTTGGTCAGGCGCATGTCTTCGCTAAGTTGCCTATAGAAGTAGGAGTCATTGAAATATCCCATTTCAATACCTTTTTTGAGGCACTTACTGTATGTATTCCTGCGTGCGTCGTCTCTGCAGTCTCTCGGCTATATCCTTGTTGGTCTTCTTGCGCGTATGATAGCCACGCCACATCTTTTGGATGGTCACAGCCGAGGACTCGGTCACGTGTTCGCTTAAACGTTCCGCACAGTTCTGGCTGGCTCCGTTGATCTTCTCCTGATATACCATCATCTGCTGCTGCTGCTGTTGCTGTTGCTTTTGGGCTGCCATCTTCCGGATGGCCTTTAACTTTTCTGTATTAATCTGTTCCCCGCCATCGTCGTCAGTGCTAAAACCGCCGGCATCTACCATTATCGTGGATGTCTGTAGCTTCTCTTGCTGCATCTTCTCTTGGTTAGATTTACCAGCCACCTTCCGCGGACTATTGGCGGGACTTTGGTTCCTTTTTAACTGAGGACTTTGAACCCTCGGTAAGTTTAGTTTGTTGTCTGTAATAAAGTATAAAGGTTAGGGGACTGTGTGAAAGTTAGTACAGTTCACAACTGGCCACCTTTGTTTTTGTTGACTTTAGATTTGTGGAGCAACTGCTGCGAGTTCATAGCCCCCACGACAGTCATCCTTTGGGCAACGGCGGCGGGACAGACATCAGGACTCATCAAAGTCTCCGGCACGGGAACCATTTTCGAGGCAGCCGCCAGGGGACCTCCAGAAGGGGTTTGGCTGATGAAGGTTTGATCTAAAATGGGGAAAAAGTGATTCTATTAATATAGTTCATAGTCTAGATAGTTTCTGATTTAAGCTCACCATTATAGGGATTGGGGGTTATATTCCTAGGTGTGGACTCCGTGGAGTTGTAGGTCTTGGTGGTCACACTACTTGACATACCGCTGCCTGCCAGCGAGTAGCCATCACCATCGTTTTTAATATTTTCTATAAGCGAGATGCTCATCTGTAGGGAATTATTCGCCGATCCATTGTCGCTGACAAGGCTGTTGTTACAGCTGCTGTTCCCATGATAGCTATTCGCCATGGATTCGGGCGATCCCTGGCGTCCACTCAAACGGGAAACTAAAGAATAGATAAGCATGTAAATTGGTATTAATAACAGATAAGACTTACATCTCGGCGACTGTATCCGACTCGTGGGCTTTTTGCGATGGGATGAGGGCGAGGTACTGGCCGAGCTATTGGCATTATCCATAATCTCCTCCTGCAGCTGCCGTTGATGGTGTTGAGCCTTGCTCAGGATCAAGCGCAGCTTTCGATCGTTCTCATTCTCCAAGGCCTCACCCACCAACGGGCAGTTGGAGCTTAGGTATTTGGCCAAGCTTATCTGCTCGCCCACGCGAAACTGACGTCCGCGTCCCTGGCTATACAGCCACTCGGCCTTGAGGCCTTCGATGGGGGCACCACATAGCCATCGATGTACTTGAGGTTCATGCACCAGTTTAAAACAAAGGGTCGATAGTCAAAGCCCCTGGAACATAGACCAGTATAGTTAAAGAAAAGTAAAGTAAACCATATAAAGGAAACTCACTCCATGCTATTGGTCATGTGGACACAGGGATTATCCGATATCGAAATGCTCATCAGATTGCACAAATGCGACAGCGTACAGATCTCATTCAGATCGGTTATTCCATTCTTGGCCAGCGTTAGGGTCTCCAGGAGGTGGGCAAATATTTATCGCATTGCCGTAAATGCGTCAGACGATTTCCATGCAAATAGAGCTCCTTGAGATTCCGCAAATACGACACATCCGAGATGCTGCCAATACTGTTGTCCGCCAGATTCAGGCATTCCAGATTGACGTTCGTGTTAAGATGCTCGATGGTCTTGATGTTATTCCCCTCCAGGTTCAGTATTCGCAAATGAATGCACTCTTTAAGGCCTTCAATCGATAGGATGCCATTGAAGGAGAGGTTCAGTTCACGGAGGCAGTGCAGCCGGCAAACGCCATACATCCGCAGTAATTGATTTCGGGCCAGGGAGAGCTTAAAGTGGGGTTTAATAATTAGTTAAATGATCTTAATTAGGATTATTAACTACCGTTTCTATCTTGAGGTACGAGTCTATGTTGTCAATCTTCTGCAGTTCGTTCTCATCCAGGATAAGCTGACGTATGTTGTGAGCATCATCCTGTTTGGGCACCTTCTTCAGCTTCTGCTTGCTTAAATTCAGGATGTGCTTCTCCTCGCTACTTTCGTCGCCTTGTTTGGGGAAAAGAAATGGAAAAGATAAGAATATATAATATTTATAGTTAAAAAATTAAAAACAGCAAAGGAAGCTAACTTCGGGAAGTTAAAGCTAAAGTTTATACGATCATAACTTTAAAATCGATCATAACTAAGCCAAAAATTAATTTATTTCAATTCTGTAAGCAATGCTGTGCTAGTTTTTATTAGCTTAATAAATCTGCATACTCATTTAAAATGTAAGAAAATTAAATTTTTATCAAATTTCGAAAATTTCAACGATGTAACCCCTTATATTTTGTTAAAAAATTTCAAAAATATTTTTTTCCACCGGACATGATTAGATCGATTCAATAATGATTAATGATTAATGGGGTCGGAAATTACTTTATCACTAGGTTTTTCACAATATAATGCCTACAAGGATATAAAATTTTCATTTATAAAAATTCTATGATTTTTTTCAAGAAATTATTGTATTTTTAAAAATATTCTTTACTATAAGCTGCGTATATTCTCAAGTTTCTATCACACATATCGCCTTTGATTTAATAACATTTAAAAAAGTGCCAAAATGTTTTATTGGCTAAAAATAATCAAAATATTTCATGGCCTACTTTTAGATTCTTTGTATAAATGATTTAAAATTCATCTAATTTCTTTTATGCCAAATTATTATATAGGTCCACTGTGTCTACATTGTAGCCCAATTGATGACTTCATCGGGGGGGTTCTGGACCTTTCAGGGTGGAGAGGGTGTCAAAGCGCAGGTGCGTCTGTCCTGCCAGGACCCTCAAACAGCCCCCAGCGCCCTCTCCCGCCCTAACCCCCACCCCTCCCCGAAAGCAGACTGCAAATTCCCATACAGTCGCCACAAAAAGGCTCACTTAACCCTGAGCATAAACAATAAGGCAAATCAAAGAGGGGAAAACTTAGCTAATTTAACTACATTACTTACCACTCATTGTGTTAAAAATTCCAGCACTTGTTACCGCACCAATTCAACTTTTTTTAAGTAGCAACTTTTGGCGTCGCAGCGAAAAATCAATGAAACGCAACTTTTCCTTTCTCCACATGCAGCCGCCGTCTTTCATTCTCCAGCTTCTTGTGCCCAAATTATCCAGTTTAATTATTCCAATTCCCGTCAGCTGGGTTGGTTTTTTGTTTTAGAATTAGGACCACGCCATTGTAAATAAATGGTTATAAACTATATTATTTTTTAGCGCCGTAAAATGAATTTTTGTTTACTATAGCTATTAGTGTGACCGCACTGGGCGCGTTAAATATTCCAGCAGAATTGAAAGGCGAAAATACTAGTTGCTATACCGAATATACCAAAGATAGAAAGAGTCTTTAAAATGATGCAAAACCGTTTTATTTTAAAAATATTGAAATTTTTGAACTTTATTAAATTAATTACAACATAGTTATAAATTATACTTAAATATTAATGTAAAATATGAACAATAAGGGCAAGGAGTATATATGCTTTAATTTTTCTTTTGAATTTGAGATACTTAAGTTTCAAAAACATATATTTTATTTCATATATAAACATTATAATAAAATTTAAATAATCTTAGAAAAAATAAAATATATAGAATAATCTTTTCTCTGAGTAAATTAATAGACATTAAATTTTGTTTATAATTATAACACCAGTTAATGGTGTATTTTTTTATTCACTTTACAATTTTCTAAAATATAATTGAATAAAAACGAAGACACTCGAATTAGAGACCTTGCCAAGGATAACTTCCTTCTCTGTACGGTTAGAGAGATAAACACGATCGGATTTTAGTAAATTTATTTGGTAAAGACAACTTTGGGGTGAATCTTCGAAAGGGAGGAGGCGGAGGCGTAGTTTCCTGCCGGATGGGAAAAGGGAAATGGAAATACCAGTGGCGATAATCTAAATTTGCTGCTTGAATAGTCCGAGTGCATGCGGATGCTGTCAGTCTTGGTCTGGGTAGCTTCACGCCCTAGTTTCGATGCTGGTGTTCGCACTGGGCGCCGCCGCCGTATCGCAGCTATCCACTTGGGTGGGCTTGAGCATGGCCAGCGTGGGGCTACCATCCAGGACCTCATCCTTTCGCACATGCAGCATATCGATCTCGGTTAGTGCAACATTTGGTTCCTAGATAAAAGAAATATGACTTGAAAAGGGACTGCAGAAAAATCGATAAAAATTGAGACAAAATGATCTTCACCTTCTCCATTGCCGCATCGGACACCTGCAGATGGTACTTGTCCCGGCAGAAGCGCGACAGCAGGGCAATGCCCACATCCCTCTTCTTGGCGTACTTTGTTTCCCAGGCGTCCAGCAGGCGGTTGTAGTAGCGCGCGTTCTCGATGTACCTCAGGTATATATGTGTGTCAGCGGTGGGGAAGATTCGCTCCAGAGGCTGGCACCGGGCCAGCTCGTCCTCGGCCACAATCAGACACCGCACATCGTCCGGCAGCAGGTTGTCCAGTATGGTATCCACATACTCCTCCCGGAACTCGATGCTGCGATTGGTATACTGATTGTGTTTGCGTACCTCCTCCGCCGTCAGGCAGGTGGTGAAGATGCGCTTGTCATGGCACAGCGGCCCGCTCAGATTTAACTCCTGTAGAATCTCGTTCTGTTGGTGTTCATTTAGCTTCGGCGGCACCTGATACAGAGCCGTGTTAAGCACAGCCTGAATGAGGGGACCCTTTACATGAAGATCTAGCGGCAGTTCGGAGTGCAGCGAGGGCGATATATTGATCTCCAACAACCACGGGACCAGATTCTCGTCCAGCAGCACATCGAAGCCGAACAGTTCGAAGCAGTTGTAGCGAAAGTTTACATTCTGGCGGTACATGCGATTCAGTCCTGACTCTCCGCTCACGATTCCCTTGATAACCAGATTCCGCAGCGTGGCCCACAGGCGTTTGGTATTCACGCCACGATTCTCCAGGCAGGACCAGAGGGATTGCAAGGTCCACTTGTGACCTTGGCAGGCATTAAAGTCCTCGTTCTTGGCATAATTCTGCGAGAATTTGTTGATGCTGTAGTTGGTCAGGTGCATGCAGCGCTCGTCTAAGTTGCTCAGCTCCGAGCTGTACTTCACGGACGCGAATCTCGCCAGTCCATCCTTGAACATGTAGATGCGCAGCGGGTTGATGGAGGTCAACACTACGTAGAGCCGCATATCGAACTTGTTATCGTTGATCAGCAAGGGTCGCTCAATGTATCTGCAAATGGGTTAAGTTTCTCATAAGAATACAGATTAATTGCAGGGATTTCGACACTCACTTTTGCACCACCAGCGGGCGATCCTTCGGAAACTGGCTCCACTTGTTCACTATCCGAATGCCAGTTCCTCGGGCACTGGCAGGCGGCTTAACAATCCACTTGGTGAGCTTGGAAGCGTTCTTAGGCCAAACCTGTCTCAGATTCTCCAGGTCATCAGGCATTATATAGGATCTAGTAAAGCAAAAGTATGGTAAAGCCATATTATTATATAATTGGATACTTACCTTTGCATAAAACCAAACTCTTTCTTGCCGAATTTCTTCATGTTATTGTAGATGCTACGCCACATGGTGTCCTTGCGTCCAATACGGAACGATCCGGGTATGTGGTTGTACTTTTGGTGCGACCTAATAGTCCTAAATCCAGGGCTCTTCATGTGCTTCTCCCACACGGCCATCCAGTCGGTGGTATCTGCCAAGGTATCACAGATTAAAGATCACAGATCAAAGATTAGGTGCCACAGAAAACTCACTCTTAATGATACGAAAGCCTGAGTTCAGAACTACTCGCTTAACTATCTTTGGCATGACGGGACTTAGCTTCCATTTAAGAACTCGATGCAAAGCTGCCGGCATGGGGGGACCCTTGTCGGCGTGCGAGGTGAAGTTGAGGTAGGGCGGAACGTTCGGGAACAGACTGGGCGAGAGGATCGTTTCCGGACGGAAATAAACGGATGCCTCCGAATCCGTGGTGGCCACCGATTCCTTCGAATGTGTTTTCGCTGGCAGTAGACGTGTATGCCGGCTCTGGTGGGACTCTGTGCTATCCTCCTCAAGGAAGAATGGCGTGCCCACATACTCCTCCTCCGAGTCGGAGTCATCGTAGTTGTTAATGTCATCGATAGCTAGGAATTAGAAACATATGCATAGAGAAATATCCTTTAGGAAATAGCAAACTTGCTCACCTGCACATGGATCGTCTTCGTGCTTCCGATCATGATGATCATGGATTGCTCCTTTGTTCAAGGACACTCCCACATATGTAGCGCTATGCTCGCCTCCCGGAATTCGCTGATTGGCCAAGTGATGATGGACCTGCTGAATGTGAGGCGGTTGGGTGTACAACGAGGCATACAGGCTCGTCTCTAGGGCGGTGGCCGCCGACTTGGTCAGTCCATTTTGCGTGAGCAGCTTGCTCTTCTCCTCCTGCTGGGTATTTAGAATGCTGCTTCCATGGAAGGTGTTAACCACAATCTTGCTGGGCGGTGATGCCTTTAACGTTTGCGTGCTTGAGCAGGATACGCTCGACGGTGCCGTCTTGGACAGGGCATGTGGACTTAGGCTGGATCGCTTGGTACGTCCATTGATGGTTGATCCCTTGACGCAGGCATCGTCTCGGGCGCGCTTCAATAGCATCTGGGCGGTTAGTTTAAGCGAAAGCGGAAACGGACAAGGAACACGAAGTGGGGGGAATATGGGAAAACAGACATGATATATGTTAGCAATTAACAGGAATAAAATGAACTGATTTATTTAAGTCATTGATAATGCAGTCCAATTAGGGATGTATATCGAAGGGAAGAGTATGATATGTATACCGATCGTTCTTAAGATCATATTAAAAATATATCTTTGATATATCGAAGTTCAGAATAACATTAAATAACATATATTCGAAACATATATTTAAGCTGACCCGAAATATCAAAGGGAATATTGATATATCTCACATATGTAAAAGAGAAAAAGGAGAAAAATCTATACAGTATTAAAACTTCTTTACTCTACATGTTATTTAAGTTTAAAATGAATTAATGGAGCTTGCTGACTATAAATAAGGTTAATATATAATTGATAAAGCAAGGTTTATTCAGATAAATAGCAGAGGCGGGGAAAATTAGGAATATAACAAAAAGAAATTAGCAAATTGTGAGGTATTCATTATACGATTATATTATAATTTTATTCGAAACCCAGTAAAGGATTCAATAGGATGTTTTACATTGCTTAGTGCCTAGAGCACAGAATTAAATTTGTTACTATATGCCTAAATAATAGACCTTTTTAGAGTTAAATTAATAATTTCGTAATTCTAGCAACATATCCTTATTATATATTCATAGATCAGAGATTATTGATAGAAAACAAAGAATGGTAGCTAATCTTTCCTACTCACAAATATCTCAAATGTAGTGCCCGATCCAAACAGATAACATATAGTTTATAGCTTCTCCACACTCACCTGGACTTTTTTGTACGACTCCGATTGGAGTATACTGTTGGGTGTGCCGGCTGCGGACGTGTTCTTTGGACTGGTACTGGTGGCTGGAGACGGGATTCCCCGAATGCCGATGCGCTGCGATGTCGGCGTGACCTTCGATGAATCTCCGGCATATGAGACGCTACTTCTGACTACTTTCTCCGGCGTAAGGCGTTTACGCGGCGATGGCGGTGATCTGGGCTTTTGGGCGGCTGAGGGCGGGGATCGGGCTGTGGCATTGGCTGCAGCGGCGGCCGCGGCAGCAGCAGCGGCAGAGCCAGCGGAAGTGGCCAAATGTGATCCTCCACCGGCGGCGCTACGATGCGGCGGAGTGCCGGTGGAAATCCGGCTTTGATTTCGGTTTGGTGCCGAGAGGTGCGGACTGAAGGGATGGCCAGCGGTGGGTACGTGGTTGTGATGGGCCAGTTTCTTGGCCATGACCATCTTGTCCTTGTAGAGCTCAACCTCTTCCAGCCAGGATTCGTGAAAGTCCAGAATCTCGATGCCCTTGCCGCCGCCATTGCGCTGCTGTCCATTTTGCTGATGGCGAAGATTTCGCCCCGTCAAGCTGTGGTTCTCCTTGGCAGCTGTCCCCGATCGGGCCGACGTCGTCCTCTTCTCGGTCATTTGAGCCATACTGAAGTTACAGGTAATTTAAATAACTAAAAAGGGGAAGAGAATTATAAATATATATTATTGTAGAATATGTGAATTGATACAAATGTTTCGATATATTGTGATATATATTTAATTGTCTTTATCTAATTTGAATTTTATTCAGTTTATTTTGTAATCAGCTCTATTTAAAGTCCTTTGTTTTCATTCTTATCATTGTTGCTTTTCAAATGGTGGACGTTTGCCAGCCTTCTTTCTCAATGAAAGAATTAAGTTTGTGAGAATGTGCATATAATTTGTAAATGTTTTAAATTAAAATTGATAGAAGGTCTTTTATGCGGTTAGTTTATTCAATATTACGAGTTTTATTTGCTATCTTTTATGTTGATTGCTTTAGTAGGATTCCTTGAATTTTCTTCTCTTTATTTTGTTTAATTAACTAAACATATTAATTAAGTATTTAATTCTTGGTCACATTTGTTTATAAATAATACTTTAATATTTATATTTGGTATTTTAATTTTATCATTTATTTATACTTCCAATTGTTTGTAGTATTTTTTAACTCTATGTTTTTGATATAGTTGGTATTTGTATTTTCCATTTATGTTTATTATTAGGATTTTATTTCCTGAAGGTTATTTTTCTTTCTTTCTGAGTTATTCAATTTTTAAATGATTTAAATGAAAACTTTTTTCATGAATGTGTTTTATATAATTTTAAATTTATAAACACCTTTCCATATTTATTTTTTTTTATTTTTGAAGACTTATTTACTTCTGGAGTTTTTTGAAATGATCCAGATCTTTGTGGCACTTTTCGGGTTACTTTAGGGATCGGAATGGAACGTAATGGGGGTTTTCCGCGCTAAGTGGAGTGGGTCTGCCGAATGGGTTCAAGGTGGTCGCTTTTTTTTTGGGCCACTGCAGGTGCCGATTGTTCAGATTGCTCAGGATTACTTCACCACGACGACGACGTAGTCCGCGTGTGTGTGTGTGTGTGTGTGCGAGGCGTGTCAATGGCTGGCTATTTTCGAAGATTCATGGCACGGCACCAAGATCATCCAACGAGACGCGAAAAAAGAATAAAAAACCGAAAAACGCAGCATCGCCCAGAATGCGGGGCACACTTCGATCATCGATCGGCGGACGCGATCGATTGCCGATCGATCAATAACAATATAAATGCAAAGCGTGCCAACAAAATAAATTATAAAAGAAAAGACTTTCGCCTTCACTCAAATTCAAAAATCAAGAGGGCGCGAAAAAATTGCGACCCTTGTCGCTATTTCACTCTCTCCTTCAGAGCCGGCTTTTGCTGCGTCCGTGTGCGTCTGCATGTGCGCGCACTAGTGTGTGTGAGTGTGTGTGTGTGCGTGAAGCTGGACTCACCTTGTTATTTTTGATTTCTTTTTGCATGCGCACAACGAATTTTGTTGAATTGTATAAATAAACCGAGAATTTGTAGACAGTTTTCGACTCGGGGACTAGATCTAAATTGTTTAGATTTTGTGACTGATATTGATATTCATTCAAAACGACAACAACAGCGGCGGCAGCGGCAAAAACAACAAACAGCGACAAGGATGCCAACTTGTCCGTTCGCTGTCCTGTAGCTTCTATCGATAGATCGATACTTCTGTCGATTTCTGGTGTCGTCGGGCGGCCGGAAGGCGCGCTTTTTGAATAAAGACTGAAAATTGCAGATTTAGCCACAAAAAAATCCAATTCGAATCGCTTAAAAACAAGTCTATGCTAATGTATATAAAATACTTTTAGTAGAAAAATTTGAGTATTATGTATTATTTCAAATGCCAAAATCCATTATAATTTCTTTAAAATTTGAGGTAAAAATCTATGAAGTACTGTTTTCAACACATATTACTTTTCTCTAAACTCAAATCTTCCGGAAATACGTACTAGGTCATGGGAGATATGTGGCAAAATCGAAGTTGACAATCTTGGGTCCAAGGAAACCCCCAAAACCGGGACGTCCTTTGTAGTAGATGCCAATACCGGACAGCGGCACCGGTGGATTTGTGACAACATCCTGGATGTCAATAAAGGGCACTGTGGTCTGGGCAGCATCCTGCTCGAATCCAGTGTGGGTGAAATCAATATGCTGGTAGGTCTTTGGGAAAGGCACCGAAGAGGTAGTTAACGTGGGCACATGGGTCTCTCCTAGGGTCATTTTTCGCTTAAAGACAGAATAGTCGTTAATTTTATGAGTAATTCAGAACCATTAATTAATTAAACTTGTAGATTGGATTTACCTTCCCTGATTGCCACCAGTCTCCCAAAAGCTCTGCTCCATTGGTTCAATAAGTTTGCCCCTCAGGAAATCGAATTCGGTATACTGAGCCTCCAGATGGAGATGACCTCCAACGTTCTGAAATCTCAGTCCGGTGATAAGGGAGCTGCTGGTAGGTGCTTCCAACTCATTCAGATCGATGGATCGTCGGTCGTTGGTCAGCGTGTGGTAATCGACACCCTGCCGCACATTCTTATCAGTGATGCTGTACTCGTCCACGGGCTTCCACTGGAGAGTGGTCTGATTGATGGCTCCTCTGGGCAGAAGCTCTCCCTCCTGAATTTGCAGATGAAATATGCGATTCCGCTTTACGAAACGAAGACCAGTCACAACTCTGTTGTGCTCCACATCGGCTTTCACGGGTCGCAGGTTAAAATAGCGATCGGATTTGGGGCCCTGCTCATCGCATAAACACATGCAGTAGGTGCATTTCCAGAATATCCAGCGACTCCAGCCTTTTGCCCTTTCTGTTTGCCTGCCGCACTCAACCACTTTCCGAACCTATGTCCGCTTTTATAATGGACGAACTCGTAGCGCCTGCTGGAGCTCCAGTCTGCCAGGCAAACCTGCATCTGTGATTCCACAAACTTGCAGTGGTGCACGTGACCAGAACACGCCGGCTGCTTGGAGCAGAACTCATTATCGTAGCATCCATAATTGCTGGTGTAATCGAAGTGGGCGCAGTCATACCGACACCTCCCATCTGGATTCAGATCCACCTCGTTCTCGATGTAGCCTTGTAGGAGGCGGGTGACCTCCTCGTAGGTGACTCCTGCCGTGTGGTGTGCCGGATCGCATCGCCAAACGGTTCGATCTGATCTGCTTATCACGTCCTTGAACATCCTCAGAGTGCGTTTGTCCTGCGATCGTATTCTTGTCGCATTAGTGTCTTCTCTTCGGTGAATTCACCGTCTTCTTTGAGCAAAGTCCAGGAGAAATGAGCCAAGGCGAGGGCTTTAAATTCGGTGAGTGCGATGTCCTCGAGCAGCTGATAAAAAAACAAATGGGAGGACTGCCGCGTTCTGCACATGTGACCGGATGAAACCTACAAATCATTTATAAGGTATTACAGGGATACAAATGTATGTTGATTAATACAACCTTTAATCTGGTTTCCAATTCGACCAAAAGATTGTTGGGCGTCAGATGGGGCTTGTCCTCGGTTCCCAAGAGCGTGGTGTGAAGTTCATCAAGACTGTCATGGATTATCGAGAGCGTTTCCTCAGAAAAGCTGGTAAGGGTTGTCTTTTCAAAGGCCGTAATATTTTATATCTCTTCATCCTTTGGTAGCGAAAACTGATCCTGTTCATGATTTTTTGAATATCTTGCATCTTCGCTATTGTGGGACTATTCATTTCTATATAGTCTGCGACCGAATCTATTATGAAGTCCGCAAAATGATGATGCTGCAAAGGGATATCTCTTAGAGGCGCATAGGCAACAAAAGAATCCTTATAGCTTACCTGCTCCCTCATCGTGTCATCTATTCCTTCGATCCGGCTTCGGATTTCCACCAACCAAGGCTCAACCATTGACTTGGGTTCCTGAACAATTGGAATATTCTCGTCTGGCACGTAATCTATGAATTTATTGGATTGTGCCCACTCAATGGCACCATCAAGGCCAGCACGAATTGCAGCAGGACCATTAAGAGCACCATTGATAGATTTTCCGATGACCAACAGCAAGGCCAGAAGAAATGGGACTTCCATTTTCACAGGGATAAAGGCGATTTCCCTTTGTTATCGATAAGATTTGTTTGCCTTGAAGCTTAGAACCTAACTAAATTATTTTCTAATCTGGTTTCCCCTTTAAGTGAGAGCGGCCTTTTTTGCTTTTTGAGAGTGACGAAAATATAAACCAACAAAATATAAAGTAAAATCAAATCTTTTTGCAAACTCATATTCTAATCAGGGGCATTGTTTTCTTAGGACCCATAGAGATATTGTGGCGATTCTGAGAAAACTTGCAGGTTATCGTTTTTTTTTTTTTTAAACTATGATTCTAGATTCTTCTGCCCAGAATGACAGTTTGAATATATATGTATTGAATTATATTAATTAGCATATGTGGGAAAATTCTTTCTATACCGATGCCACTAGATCCTAATACTTTATATACTGAGACCTTAGGTAAAACGTATCAAATAACTTAAATCAAATGGTTTGTTTAGCTCTCTTATAGTAACATTTCATTGATTGTTATTTTTTATAATTCTTATTAATTATTAGGATTAGCTTGAATCATAAACTATGTTTTCGCTACATTCAATTTTTTCACTTCTATTATGAAATCTACATAGTACCACTAAATTTTTTGCTTAGTTATAGTAAATATATTTCCTCTTATAATCTTTAAGCGCGACATGCTTAAAAAATACTAAAAACAAGAATGAAGCCAAGTTCGGGAGACCACAGATTGTATACCCTTACGATCGATCATAACTAAGCCAAAAATGTATTAATTTGTATTCGGAGAGCTGTTCTGTTTTAGTTTTTATAAGGTTAAAAAATCTTCGTACTCTATTAAAATTGTACAAAATTATTTTTTTTCTCCATTTTTGAAAATTTTAAGATAAAAAATTTAAATTTTAAAAAAAAAATTAAATTTTGCTAGACATAGCAAGATTGACTCGGCTGTTGATCCTGATCGAAAATATATATGATTTATAGGATCGAAAATGACTCCTTCACTGGGTTTCAAGCTTCTGACTAAGATTATAGTACCCTGCAAACATATAAAACTAAGTGTAAGATGAATGTCTATACACACATGTATTTTCTCATTTAATTAGTTTTATTTTAATAAGCCTGCGAAAACACTGATAAGCAGCTTTACTCAAAAATCAGCCCAAAACAATTAAATTATATTCATTAAGTTTTGAGCATCAGAACAGAGAAGAAGTAAAATTAAAAGAAAAAATTCGCCATGAAAGGAGAACATTTCCTTTTACTGGTCTCTTTCTTGGCCTTTCAGAAGACATTCTTCTGCAAAGCCTCTTCGGAAAGGTCTGAAGAACCGATTTTTAAGCTAACTCAAACGAATAAACGATTGGGTGACATAATCAGACGGATCGATGAGTTGCAGCAGCTGAACAGAGCCACGGTGAGTTCAATCCCAGTCTTATCAATAGAACTGAAACTATACTGGAGGGTTCCAATAGAATCGAAGTATTGCTGCATTTGCCGTCCTTCCAAACGGCTACATGGATGAAAGCTTTGACTTTAGCTCGGAGTTCGATGAATCTTATAGAACCATAGGATGGATAGAGCACTTATACGACTATCTTGGGCATTTTGAGAAGGCCAGGTTTGAAAATGATACGCTAATTCGTTTCGCAGAAGACACCATTGCCAACGAACGTAAGGGGAGTAGGATGGAAAAGTTGCACGCTTTCTTCTTTGGAAGCGAGGATCTACCTTTTGCAGGGAGGAATCTTCTGAGATCCCTTGCCGAAGGCTATCAGGTAATACTAAGCTGTTAATCAGCTAGAAACATAACTCTAATTAGAATATTTAATTATGCTTACAGAAATATCTAAATAGAACTTGCAGGACTCCGCAGTCACCACAGCAGTATCTATACACTTTGTATGTGGACATTGCTCTCGCCGAACTAAAGTCCCTTGCCATGCTGGAGTGGTCCTGGCTACTCCTCGGGCAATTTGGAAGAACCGGGTTCACCGTGGAGCAGGAAACAGTGCGGGAGGACTTTGAGCAAAGGATGAATCGCACTCGGAAGAGGATCGAGGACCAAATGAGTGGCGCTGATCAAACTGTCTGGCGTTGCGATCCTTTGAAGCCCAAGGCCGGAGTCAACTACGATGAGGTCACCCGGCTTCTCCAAGGCTACATCGAGAATGAGGTGCATCTCAGTGCGGAGGGGACATGTCGACATGACTGCGCCTACTACCAATCCACGAGGAGCGAGGGATGCAACGGGGATGAGTTCTGCTCCCAGCAGCCGAGGTGTGAAGGTCGCCTGCACAACTGTCAGTTTGTGGAGTCCGACCTGCAGGTATGCCAGTCGGAGACGAACTCACACAGGCGGTACGAATTCATTCAGGGTGAAGACGGAGGCCACATGGGACGCCCTGAGGAGTGCAGCCGGAAGATGGACAAAGCTAAAAGCTGGCTCAGCTGGTTCGTCGAGTGCAGTTATTGCCTCTGCCTGTGTGATGAGGAGGGGCCCAAGTCGGATCGCTACTTCAATCTGCGACCAGTAACAGCCGATATAGGGCGGAACAGGTGAGTTTGCTCCCTGATGAGCTGCGCTCTTGACATACATATATTTCTCACTGCTCCCTTCAGAGTTGTCACTGGATTGCGATTTCTAAAGCACAATCGCATATTCCACCTCCAGATCCAGGAGGGGGAGCTCCTAGCACATGGAACGATCAACGAGACCACTCTCCAATGGAAGCCCCTGGACTCTTACAGCATCTTAGATGAGAACGTTAAGAAGGACGTGGACTTTCACATGCTGAGCTACGAGAATCGATCAATCGATCTAGTTGAGATCAAAGAACACAGTAACTTTGTGGTGACTGGATTGCGATTCCGAGTGGTTGGAGGCCATCTTAATCTGGAGGCACAGTTCAATAGGTTTGACTTTAAGAGCGGCCAGCTCACTGATTCAACCAAATGGTTGTCAGGAGACAGCGAGAAAATCAGGTAATGTTACTTCTAAGGGGTGAATATTGTATATTAAAGCCCCATTTCTATTAGGACGAAAGTGGTGCTGGAGAACTCCAAAGTGTTCTCAAAAACCTCCACTTCCTCGGAGCCGTATCCCAGCGGCAATGACCATTATGTGGAGTTTACAAACTCGGGTCTTCAACAGGATGCCGCTCAGACCACTGTGCCCCTTGTTGACATCCAAGCAGTTGTCTCCAAGCCTCCGGTTCCTCTTTCCGGAATTGGAGTTTACTACAGAGGCAGCAAGGGATACGGTGGCTACGTGGCTCCCAAACTAATAACCTACGATTTCAGCCAGAATTTCGATTTTCCCATAATGTAATTGGTGGTTGGAACAACATAATACAAATGTTACATATTAAACCTATTTAATTTTGATTTGATTTGAACAATCTCCAGGCGGATTTATCTATATTTAAAAGAGCAAATCTTCCTTTCGAGATTCTTTTCCATGCCATCCTGGAACTAAATTTTGGATCATTGTAGGTACGAAGCAAAATCGAAGTTTACAATCTTGGGCCCAAGGAAGCCCCCGTAGCCTTGGCGACCCTTGTAGTAGATTCCTATGCCGGACAGCGGCACCGGTGGATTTGAGACCACGTCTTGGATGTCGATAAAAGGCACGGTGGTCTGTGCGACGTCCTGCTCGAAGCCCGTATGGGTGAAATCGATGTACTGCATGCTGCTGGAGAACACAATCGAGGAGGCGGTGGTTCGTGTGGACATATGGGTGCCTCTCAGGGGCAATTTTTCTCTAGAGAAAAGAACAAGCTCGGAAAGGTATTAGTTTTTGTCAGAATGTTAATCCGAATCGATAATTTACCTTTCCTGATCACTAGACATTGTCTCCCAATAACTTTTCTTCGTTGGCTCGATTAGCTTGCCGCTGTGGAACTCGAACTGAGAGTATTGAGCCTCCAGATGCAAATGATCTCCAATGATTCGAAACCTTATCCCGGTTATAAGCGAGTTGGTTTCCCTTGGTTCCAGCTCATCCAGATCGATGGAGCGCCTGTCGTAGGTCAGCATGTTGTAATCGATACCCTGTCGCAGATTCCTATCGGTGATCCTGTAATCGTCCACGGGCTTCCACTGGAGAGTGGTCTGGTTGATGGCTCCCTCGGGTAGGAGCTCTCCTTCCTGGATTTGTAGATGAAATACACGATTCCGCTTTACGAAACGAAGACCAGTCACAACTCTGTTGTGCTCCACATCGGCTTTCACGGGTCGCAGGTTAAAATAGCGATCGGATTTGGGGCCCTGCTCATCGCATAAACACATGCAGTAGGTGCATTTCCAGAATACCCAGCGACGCCAGCCGCTTGCTTTGTCTAGGTATCTGGCGCACTGACCTCCAGGACCAAACCTATATCCGCTCTCATAATGGATAAACTCATATCGCCTGGTGGAGTCCTGAGGAGCCTGACACACCTGCATCTTGTATTCCACATACTGGCAGTTGTGCACGCGACCAGAACACTTTGTCTGCTTGGAGCAGAACTGATTGTGGTAGCATCCGTGAGTTCTGGTGTTATGGTAGCGGGAGCACTCGTATCGACATCTCCCATCCTCGTGCAGATCCACCTCGTTCTCTATGTAGCCTTGTAGGAGGCGGGTGACCTCCTCGTAGGTGAGTCCCGCCGTGTGGTGTGTCGGATCGCATCGCCAAACGGTGCGATCTGCTCTGCTAATCACGTCCTTAAACATCCTCAGAGTGCGGCTTGTCCTCCGCTTGAGGGCCTCCCGTATCACCCTCTTCTCCTCGGTAAATTCTCCCTGTTCAAATTGCTTGAGCAGCAGCCAGGAGAACTCAATCATGGCGTGGGCCTTCAATTCGGTGATGGCGATGTCCTTGAATAGCAGGTAAAAAAACTGCTGGGCAGACTGTTGCGATTTGCAGACGTGATATGATGAGCCCTAGGAGGCATTAACCATGTTAAGTATCGTCAAATTTTCGTACTTTATAAATATAAATTACTTTTAATTTGGCTTGCAGTTGAAACAGAAGGTTATTGGGCGTTACATGGGCTCTTTCCTCCCTTCCGAGGAGCGTTGTATGAATCCTGTCTATCTGATGGATTGCCGAAAGACTGTCCTCGGCGAATTTGATTAAAGTAAAATTTTCGAAGAGCCTCGACTCTCCGTAAATCTGCATCCACTGGTAGCGCAAAGAGATGTCATTCATGACATCATGGATATCCTTCATCTTGGCCATAATTGGAATGTTTTGCTCCATATTTTCTGCAATCGAATCCCTGGTGTAGTCCGCAAAGTGGTGATGCTTCAGTGGGATACACTCGTAAATTTGTGATACAGACGAAGATTATTTTAAACACTCACCACACTGTTCCTCTGCTCAATTCTATCTATCCCAGCTTCGACTTTTGCCAGCCACAGCTCCTCTTTTGACTCTGACTCCAATGTTGGTTCACGAGGCGTGTCTATATGATTTGCTTCCTCGATAAGGGCACTAGCGCTGGCCTCAACGGCCATCCCTGCGATCACTGCAAGCGCCGCTTTTCCGGCACCCTTGCCCACCTTTCCGGCACCCTTGCCCAGCGAATTCCCAATTTTTGTGCCAACTTTCGAAAACCATTTTGAATTCGCAGGCGTAGGCGACAGTTGAAGGACCAGCAGCGTGGCCACGAAAATAGAGAGACGCATTTTCATCTTACTACCACTTCCGTAATGATTCAAATATGTTTCTCACTGAAAAATACCATTGAAACACTTTAAAACAAAAGAACTGTAGGGCTTGCAGCTTGGAATTTAATTAATTGTAAGGCCTACCATACGCTGCCTTTTATTAAATGTCCCACAGATCTTGGTTTGCCACCACTCCGTGGGGGGAATGCACTGATAGCCTCACAAGAAGATCCCATAATCCCTATCAGAGTCATACAAAACATACATATTGAAAGCAGTTCGTTGAATGCATAACAATTACAAACTAAGAATGATAAGGACTCCGTTGAAGCAATGTAAACAACAGAGGTAAAGGGTGAGGAAGCCTTTCTTAACTTTGGAAAACGATTTTTTTCGGGTCAACATTATGCTAAATTTTAAATTAAATTTTGTCTGAAGTCTAAGGTGATGAGATTGGAAGACGAATTAAATTTGCAAACAATTTACAAATTAAAAAAGATATTTATATAAGTTAAATAAATATTTTGTAATATTTATCATATATCTAAAAAGGCTTTTTAGCTTTGCAATTGTTTATAAATATTTAAAACCGGAAACTGTTAAACTTACGCAGTCTGGCAGCTCTGAGTACTGTTTTATTTAAATTTTCCAGCTACAGTGCTGCCAGACCTCAGCTGAAAGCTGTGAAAGAATTTCTCACTATCGACTGTTTTAGTTTAACGGTAAATATAGCACACGAACGCTGGCGAGTTCAATTATCACCCCCTCCGATTGCGTTGGTTCTTAACGTTTACACGGGCAATGTTTATCAATACCACTTCCATTTAGTGCCAGTGCAAGCAACCCTACCGCCCCCCACCCGCTCCAACCACCTGTGAGACTATCTCCCTTTTGCACGACAGCCAGGCACTTTCTTTCGCTCTTTCCCGCTCTCTTTCTCTCGCAGTCTCTGTGCCTCTCTGGCGCGTGCTGAGCTCAATTAGCACTCATACGCCGTGTGTGTTTTTACCGTTCGCTCAATCGCAACTGTTTCTTCGAAGAGAGCGGACGTGCACGGAAGAAGCGTACGCTGGCGCATTCCGTTCCGATTCTGTTTCTGCCTGGCGTGTTTTTTTCTGTTGTGTTGTTGCGTTGTTATTAACTTTTGTATTTACTACCACTACGTTTCGCTATAGTACATTGTATAATTTTTTTGTTCTCTGCCGCGTTTTTGCCACCTGTACACAAGTGTGTCGCTGGAAAAAGATAGTTCGGGAAAAAGAAATAGAGCGCTGAATTCAATGCTGCCGGCTTCAAAGTTTGAAATGTGTGTCTTTGCTGACGGTCCAACTGTGGCAAATAGCTTGTGAAATAACGGAAAATATTTCAAATATTAATAATAATAAAAGAAATAATAATAATAATGCATGGTAAAGTGTAGAAAAAAGTGCAGCTGGAGAGCCAAGCTAAAGTGCAAGCAAATAATTTACAGATATCGCGTATACGACGCGTGTTGCCTTGAAAATTCAGAAATTAAGTGCCACCCCTTTTCTCGCTGTGTCCCCTGTACATCTCTGAGCCTGTGTGTGTGTGTGTTTGTGTTTGTGTGTGCGTAGCCAAATATTAAGTGAATTACAACAAGAGAAAACAACAACAGCCAATGGCACATCACTTACTATTAAATTATATTGCAAGTTACAAGCTGAGGGAGAAAAAATAATAATAAAAAAAAAAAACAAAAACGAGACAACAAAATAATCAAGCGAAACAAGGAGAAAAAAATACACAACAAAAACAAACAATAACAGAGGCAGCGAAAAGAACGTTTAACTGAGCAGCAACTGCGACGTCAACAGCGACTGCGACTGCGGCAGCATCGGAGGGGTGCAACAGTAGCAGCAGCAGCGACAACACCAAAAACAGCGAAAATAGCAACAAAATGTTGAAAAACTGTTGAGGTTCGTACACAGCCATAAAATTATGATTTTATTATAATTTTCAAGTGAGATTTTTAAATTCAAATGTTTAAATTTAATAGAAATTTACTTCAATATATATAAAAGATTTTCCTGCATATTTTTGTGATTTATTCACTTTAAATTTTAAATTTTGTTGATAATGTTTCTCATCAGTTTATATAATTTGTTATAAGTATAAAATTGTTTAAATCTATTTAACCTATATTTCCATAAACATTTTTTACTCACGGAAAATACAAAAAAAGTTTTTTTAATTACCTAACCAACAAAAGTTAACATATAAAAAAATTATATTTTTTATATATAAAAAAAAAGAATATACACCATATAAGCCTAATAAGATCACATTATCTGCCTTTTTTTTCTGTTTTGTTTTTGAATATCCGTGTAAGTGTGTCGAGTGAGTGTGTGTGTGTATGAATACGTGGTTTATTTGCTGCTTCAGTGCATACGCTGCCCCGCCCCTTCCCATCCACATTTTCGCTGAGTGCGGCTTATGCTGCTGGCGTCGCTGCCGGCATCGCTGCCGACTTGGGTGCTCTACTTTATTCTCTTCTTTGGCATTTTTGTTTTGCGGCAAGCAGCAGCGGCAGCAATAGCAACAAAAGCAACAGCAAAAACAGCAACAAAGTCGATTACAGCGACAGCCCCAAAAAGCGCCACACAGACAGCAAAAAGAATGAAGGAAAGAACCCTAAAAAGGGTTAGGCCTGCACATTCCCCTTAGTTGAATTTCGAATTTTCATGTGGACATTAATAGATCGGTTCAGCTTATGATGCTAATCAATAATGAATATAGTTTATAGAGTCGGAAATGACTCCTTTTCCTTTAAAATTATTATACCCTGGAAGGGTATAAAAATTTTTAAAAAGAAACAATTCATTCTTTTTAATTTACTTAAAGAAAAGGATTGAAAGTATACCGAATATATTGCTACTAATAAAATCAATGATTTATTACAATTAAAAGTGAGATATAATATAAAAGACTTGTAAATAATATTTACTTAAAATATAAGCCCCCCTTTTTATAAGAAACCTGTATAATACCCTTGCCATCATAAAACTCTAACCTACATATTTGTATGTATATTTCCAAAGTTCAAACTTGAAATGAAGTAGTGGATTTTAATAGAAGCAACCCCTATAATTTTTAACATTTATTTTTAACTTGAAAAAAAAAAGAAAAAAAAAACAAAATGCCGGGGGTGGTTGTCGATATACTCCCCAAACCCCTATCCATGCAGGGTATTACATCAACAACAATAAAAGTGTGTTGACATTTTAGTGTGTGTGTGTGTGTTTTTTTTTTTTCTTTTCGCTTTTTACGTCTGTTTTGCTCCATACGTTATGGCATGTATGATGGTGCAGGGGGTATCAGGGGGGGCAGGCGGTGTATCGAGGGGGCGGGTGCATAAGAGGGGGAGGTGACTCTAGTCCAGGGGGCTACGTGTTTAAATTATCAAGCCGAGCTTGTCATCGCCACACGCACGAACATCAAAAAACTACTGACACACAAATGTATGTACAGTTCTGTGATTGTGCATGAATATACATATGTACATATATATATGTATATGTAGTACACTCCACATAAGCATGTACATATGTACCCATCTACATAGATATGTATGTATATGCGATTGAAGCGAGTTTGCCGGCAGTTGGCAGTTGGATCGCGGCGAACATTTGAATTCCGAGTTCTCCTCCGGGCGGGCAATCATAGAGAATGAATGACAAGCGGCCGAGTCGAGCCTATTGATTTTCAATCAATATTTTTGTCGTGGCCACATAGCGTTCCATATATTTACATATGTATCTACAGACGGTGTCAAGGCAGTAAGAACGTTAATATTTTGGAAGCCATAAATGCCACTTACACCATGCCTAATTTCACCATTATTCTACCTCCCGACTTTGTATTTTTTCGCGTCAAAATAAAAATAATAACAAAACATTTGTCAAAATAATCGCTGCGTTCATTTAGATAAATAAAATAACAATGAACTTTGCATTTGTTTGGTTTTGAATTCATATAATTGCTGATAAGGTTGGCAAATAATTGTGATAAGCACACAAACATTAAACAATAAGTATTTGTTTTTAACAAAGATTATATACCAAAGCTAAGTCTTGAATTTACAAAGAGTTTTGTGTTTAATCAATCTTAGCATAAGTTAGGCATACCATGCGTATACTCAATTTTTTTTTGTTTTACATCAAAAGTTAATTATTAGGAAAAAGGTATTTGTTTTTAAAAAAAGTCTATATAATAATAGTAAAGTTACAGAGTTTACAGAGAGTTTTGTGGTTAATCGATTCCTTACATTTGTTAGGCATACCATTCGGCATACCAGGCGTATACTTGATCTTACCAAAGGTTGATGTTTAAACCAAAAGGTATTTGTTTTTGAAAAAAAGACTACATTTACCAAAACCTAAGTCTTGATTTTACATAAAGTTTTTTTTGGATAATAAATCCCTTAGCATTAGCTAACCATGTTGGGAAGACTTTATTAACCTTACATACCAGGCGTATACTTGATCTTTTTTTTGTTTTGTTTTACATTAAAGGTTAATGGTTAATGGGCTTGAAGTACATTTTATTTTTGTGTTTTTCTAGGATCCATTAGCAAGTTCATTGTCAAAACAGAACACCATGCCGGCCGTTTGTTTAGTTTTAGAGCTTCCCCAATAGATAAGATAGGCAAATAATTTGATTAGGATGTTTGCTTGACACTTCATATGTGTTTGTCCGAGTATTATGGGAATACCTTGAATACACCTTAATTAACCTGTAGGAAAATAGATATCCATTATTTTTGATATAGTTCCTAGCATTGCCACCTCGTCTGTGTGGTTTTTTGTTTTGTATTTATACGATGACACCAGGTTTTCTTTCTTTCTTTCGCTTCCTTCTATCTGTTCGCTGTTGTTCGATTTTTCTTGAATTTGTTTTGCATTTGAATGTGGAATTGGGAATTGCTATAGCTTCTTCTGTCTACGGTCTTCTGGCCCCGGTCTTTCTTCGCATTTCACCTTTTATATATGTATGTATGTATGTGTATATATTGTATATGCAAAGTAAATGGGGGGGGGGGAATGAAGCCACAACACACCGCCACCGACGCTGCTGACTGTCGCAGTCTCGGCCGGCGCCTCAGCCGGCGTAATCGTCGCTGCTTTTTATTATCATTTGATTGCGTTGCCTTTATGATTGCCGTTGTTGCTGTTTGTCGCCTATTTTATTGTTGCTTTTTTTCCACTTTTTGCTTTTGCTTTTTGCCATTCCGCTGCTCATTGTTTATTTCAATTCCCTTTTTGTGCTGCCCTCTCTTGGCACCGGGAGAAAGGGGAGCGCGAAGGGAATTACATTTGTAAATTCATTTTGTTAAAAGAACTTAAAGGTTAAAATCTAATCGTAAGCTCCATATATAGTTATATATAGTTAAAATCTAATGTTAAACTTAAACAGAAGAACAGAAGAACAGAAAATGTTCTTTTAAAGCCAACAAAAGAGAGAAAGAAAAGTGCGCTTAATAAAGTTTCTTTAGAATTTTATTGTTTTATAATAATACTTTCTTATATTACTATAGAGTAGCAATTTCTACAATAATGTAGGATATATATAATATTTATTATACATATATAGAGACATTTTTTGCTGTGTATTTAGTTCTTTAACCGCGAAGCCAGATTTTGTTGTTGTCCCTTTTGTTATTTGCTTGTTTACTGAATTTACTTAATTCGTTTTTGCGGTCGATGGTTTAGCCCTATTTAAGCAACTCTCACTCCGTTGGGCCCGAGAAGTTTCCTAGGGTCTATCACCTCCTTTTCTCGATGCAGTTTTCCAATCATTCCGGTTGCCCGCGCCGCGTTGTTATTATTTGTCACGCTTCGCCATCGAACCGTTTGGGGAAATGCAAAAGGAAAAGCTGGAGAAATGGGAAAATAATGAAAGAAAAGAAGAAAAAAATAGAAATAACAAAAACCGAGTGGCAAACAACTCGAACTAACGCTAATGGGAGCATGGGAGCTGTCATGTTTGCTTATGAGCGGCGGCTTCATTTCCGTCCATTTCAGGACTCTGGGCCAGGACACAAAGGAGGCTCAGAAGGGTGGGAGCTGTCACATGTCTACCAAATGTTACGGGAGCGGCTGCACTACTACCCAGACCCTGTAATATTTAAAGAGTGGAAGTCTATACTGGCTAAGGGATCTACGAAATCAGCTTCTAAATAATATTCATAATTTTTGTTTATGATACTAAATGCTAGTAATTGAAGCAACAGGTGTATTAGTTCCATTTTCCACCTCATTTTCATTTTCTTTAAAGGTTTTATATAATTTATAAATTCATGATTTTAGCTGGTGTAAGCCGAAGGGATCTATTTATTTATTAGAATTTTGTTTCCTTATTTGTTAATGATTTCTATTCCTTAGGGCTTAATAAGCACTTGCTCTTAATGACAATTATTCATTTCACAATGAAATAAATATGCCTTCTCTCTTCTTTAATTTATTTTGCAACACTTTGATAATATTCCTACATTTTTTGTTAATAATTTAAACTTTGCTGTAAGAGTAATCACCCCTTAAAGAGGCACATTTTTAATCATTATTAAAAAAGAGGGTGCCATGCAGTCGCTTTTCCTTTTTTTTCAGCTCAATCCTTTCGCTCTATTTTTGTGTCCGTTTTGCTTCTCACCACGGCAACCACTTGTTTTCCCAAGCACAACAACAACAGACACACACACACACTCTCTCGCACACCCAGAGGCATTCTAAAGGGACGCTTACACACTCGCCTTTTTATTGACTGTCCCTCTTTCGTCCTTCGTCCTTCCTCCCTGTTTTTCCTTGCCAGTTTTTCTTTCTTGGCGTCTGCGTCGGCGCAGGCGTCGCTGCTGGCTGCTCTGCCAATGTCAGCGTCACTGCGACGCATTCCTTAGCAGCGGCAGCTTCAACAGATGAAAAAGTTTTTGCTTGAAAGTCGCACGCGGTCCGTCACGCCTCCTTCTCGTTAAAATAGCTGCAGTCCTCGAAGTTTCGTAATTAAAACAAAAGGCGGCCGTCGTGGCATTGTGTGTGCGTGGGGGAATCCCCTTGCAATCACACACACACACTCACTTTGTGTGTGTGACTGTTTGCGTGCCCTCGTTCGTGCAGGGGTGTGTGTGGCTGTGTCCGTGTCTGTGTCTGTGTTAGCCCGCGTTTTTCAGTTGCCAACATATGGCAGCATAATTCTGGGCATTTTCGGTGAGCATTTTATTGCCTGACATGCCTCCTAAAAAATTTAATTTAAGTTCATTATTTTTCATCTGATGAGAATGCTGTTTGAATGTGTTTATGTTTTTTACAAGTGCTTAACAAAAAAATATATACATATATTTTAGTATTTTTAAACAGCTTGGTTGCTTTTTAAAGATTGTTTAATGTTTAATAAATAAATCTCCATAAACTGTGAAGTAAAAACCCTTAGGGAGTTGCTTTGTAAAAAGTATTTAATGTTTAATAAATAAATCTACATAAACTGTGCTAAAAAATCCCATGGGGAGGTATTAGAAATTGATTAAGTTGTTTTTAAAAATTTAATTTTGTTGCTATATTTATACTCCTGCTGGGCATTAGAATTTCAGTCACAAGCTTGTAAAACTGGGAAAGAGTCATTTCTGACCCCATAAATCATATATATTCTTAATCAGCCACAAAAGCCAAGTCGATCTAGTCATGTCTTGTCGAAAATTTTTTCTAATAAAAGATAAGTGGTTAATCGTTAAATGGTTATGGTTAAATGGTTATCGTAAAATTGTTCAAAAATTGATAAAAATGTTGATTTTTTAAAATGTTAAATTGAGTAGACAGATTTGTAAACCTAGAACGCTTTCCGAATTAAAATTAACGAATTTTTGGCTTAGTTATGAGTTTTTGAAAGTATGTTTTGGTCTTTTAATAATATTATTATTTTAATTGTTTACTATTATTAAGGATATGAATCATAGAATATTCGTCCCTGTTATCCCTTGGGTGCTTTTTTAAAAGCAATAATATTTGTTAAGCAGTTGTATTCATTTTCTGTATACCTTTAAATAGGAATTGTATTTTTGCGTCACTCCAATTATTTTGGAACTGGAACCTTATTACTTTTTATTCTTGTATTACATTTTCCGGAAAACTTGAAAGATCTTGGATTTAAGTTATTAAATTCTCACCCATCGCTTGCATTGTTCTGCATTTTTATTAAACTCAATGTGCAATTGCGTCGATTTAAGGTATGGACTCTTGGTACCCTTGGGCGTATACGCAATGCGCTTGAATTGCAACAACGCACAAACCCGACTTTGCATTTACGTATTGCTAGATATATATATATATATATTATATCGAGTGTACCGCGTATATCGGGTGGCGGTCCAATCTTCTTCGATTACCATTGCCTCCCTTTTGGAGGGGGACAGCTCCAGGTCGTGATTTGCATTGCGATCCCATTTCGATTAGCGCTTCCAGTCGGCCCAAGCAATCGCGATCTCTCATTTATTCCGGATGGCCGCTTCACGCCCAATTAGGCTAAAAGCCGACCCGAATTGCGGTGCCAGAGAGGAGGTCGTCGATTATTATTCGGGAACCGAGTGCCGGACTAATGGTCGATGGCCATCCGCTTGGGTCATCAATAATATTCGCCTCCGGACGAGAAAGTCTATTATCATAATGAATTCCAGTTCGTCACTTGCCGTGCTCGGTGTACTTGCGTTTTAATTTTATTCCGCTCGCAGCAGCAGGAGCAACAGTATTCTCTTATTAAAACCATGTGGCTGCCGGCGGATAGCAGTTGTCCCTACGGCTGGTCCTGTCCCTGGACATCGCAGCTGCTTGTCAACGGATTGTGGATGAAACTGCCGCCAGGGTATCGTGGTGATCGTGTCCCCAAAGGGAAAAAGGGTATGACTGGGAAAGAAACTTAACTATAATGCGTTACAAATGTTTATTTTAATTTTGTGTACTTTAAAATTACACCTTTAATTTAAAGTTCGTTTGCACTTAATTATAAAAGGCTTAGATTTATAGTCCTTCCATTAAATAATTCTATATTTGCGCATATTTACTCTCCGAACTTACGATATATGTACATATATATGTACTTTAATTCATCTTTCTCAACAAAGTTGTAGAATAATTTTTGTTAATGAGTTTTAACATTTTTTTAAATACTAATTTCGTTTTATGAAGCATAACCGCTTTTGTTAATTCCAGTAAACCTTCATAAATTCAACACTTACTATACACGGTATATAGCTTTCTGTTCCCACTTCACATCAGAGCTTGGGTGTCTTAATCTTGATGGGTCTAAGAGGTCACTTTCCAAGAACGATTATCATTATCAATATGAATATTTATTATCTGTCAACCTCGTATTATCAAGAATAAGTAATAAGCAATGCTCTATAAAGTCCGAGCTGCTCTTCAGACTCTCAATCGTCGCAGATCTGTTCAGTTCGACGTTCTAAAACAAAAATATGAATCCCACTCCCGAGACTCTCAGGTAATAAGGGTAAGCCATATGTGGAGGTTGGAATACCCTCCCATAGATTGCCTTTCTGACAATTATCTGCGACAATTATTGGTTTTTTTCCCAGTGCTACTGCTGATGATGGCCCACTTTGCTGTGGGCGGTGACATTGAGGGGCGTGGAAAAGGGCTTCATTCTGTTGTTGTTGTTATTATTGTTGTTATTATTGTTGTTATTATTGTTGTTATTATTGTTGTTATTATTGTTGCTCTTTGCATTGTCCATCCCTTTCGGTTGAGTGAGTGAGTGAGTGTGTGTCTGTGTGGGTCAATCATTAATATTTCATGAACATTCCACATTTCCATTTCACAAAGCCAAAGCCCGCGTTTTATTTTGTAGTCCAAGTCGAAGAGGCACTGGGAAAAATAACTTTTAAATAAGAAATATAATTAAATTAAATTTATATTTAGAAAATAATGATTTATGCTTTGAAAATGTTTCATTTTTCTAATAAAAGTGTTGAGTTTTTAATATAAATTCCACTTACAGATCAATTTAAAACAGTCTTATACTCATATCAAAGATTTTAAAGACGTTAATTTACGTTTCTGATCAAAAATCAGTATTTAAGGATCCCACACCATTTAGTTATTTTTTTCCTGTGCGTGTGCTTTTCCCAACTCATTCCCTTGGCTGCATTTAGACATCACAAAAAAACCCCACTGACACACTTCCAGCAGGAATATGAAGGACCTGCGTGCCACTGAAGACCACATTTAATGACCAACAAAAGCGAAATTGTCGCGGGGAGGTAGCAGGGGTGCTTCAACCTGTAGTACATATGTATGTACATACATACCATCGTTGGGGGTTTTCCATTTTTCATTTAAATGTCTGGGAATAATTGCTTTTTCCTGTTCGCGTGGCTGTGGGTGGGTGAGTGTGCATTGCTGGAAAATGGAAAAGGAAAAACGGGGAGGCGGTGCATTTAGCAATTGCGAGTGCAGCCAAGTGAACAAAAGGGGAAATCCTCGCAAGAAGTGCTCGGGATAAACGTTGAAGCAACCTTGGCAAATGTAGGGAAGGTGACACCGAACATGACAAAGGGGAATATTTAAATTATAATGTGTTTTTGGTGCCTTATCTATTAAGCACTTAAGAATGGATATTTAAAATATAACTTTATATTGAATGCATAATTCCCACTTTCTATCCCATTTCAGCCTTAAAGATGCAAACGGCCATGGACACGGCCGCCATGGCCCTGGGCTCCGGCCTGAGCTCCTCCGGCTCCAGTTCCGGTCCAGGCAGCAGCAGCAGCAGCGGGAGCAGTGGCAGCAGCAGCAGCGGCTATGGCAGCGCCACAACCACGCCCACCAGCGGCGGTGGCCACTATGAGGCATCACCCACCACGATGCCCATGGCCACGATTGCCACTGTGGCTCCCTTCTACAGCGAGGCTCTGACCTCCTTGGATGCCCAGCAGCGGCAGCAGCAGCATCAGCATCAGCAGCAACAGCAACAGCATCAGCAGCAGCAGCAGCAGCAACAGCAGCCGAGTCCGGGTCACTATTACCATCAAAACTATGGGTATAGCAACTCCCTGCCCCTGGATCCAGCCTACAATTACAGCGGCTCACCGTACAACGCTTACAGTTCCGGACAGCAGCTGTCGGGGAATACGTATCCAGTGACTGGAAGTCGTTATGAAAAGTTGGCCCCCAGCACGATACCAAAATACGGAGGAGCAGGAAGTTCAATTGGTTCAGGTGGCAGCGGAGGAGGGAGTACAAGTCTAAAGCCTCAAGCCACGGCCACGCCCTTTTACGCCCAGTCACTGTCCGGCGGAGGAGCAGCTGGATCTGGCGGCTATATGTCCCAATCGAATCCCATGTACGATCCCTACAAGTACAAGATGCCAGCCCAGGCGACGGCTCAGCCGACCATGATGACGAGCAGTCAAGTGGCTAGCAATCCCAATCCCTATGGCCATGGGTTGGCCCTTAATCCCAATTCCCAGAAGCAGACCCAGATGCACTCACTCCCTCAGCAGTCGCAGCCGCAGCTTACCCAACTGGAGGCGAACTATGCGGCCATTAAGCCTAGCCGAAGTTACCAGGCCATGCCTGCGGTCGCCTATGGGGGAACTGGAGGAGGACCTGGTGGTGGCAGCACCATGCCAGGCAGTGGCAGCGGAGGAGTACCTAGTAATCTATCGGGGGCCACATCGGCTCAATATTACGACAAGTACGGGATGCCCATGTCCATGTATTCCCCAAATGGCGGACTACCCATGTACAATCCGGCGGATTTGGGTCCCGAACCTGGGTACCGGAAGACTGGAAACAATTGTCACTGGAGTGTGGACTATAATGCGCCCAATTGCAGAACTCTGCCACAGGCGCCGGCGGTGGTCAATAGCTCCTATCATCATCCGCATCCAGGACCTGGTCCCGGACCCACCAACACTGACCTTTACTATGGTTCCACGAAGTACGACAAGTATGGTGGCAGCGGAGGAGTCACGCCCTATGCCAGCAATCCCTATGCAGGACCAGCGATCACACAGTCATATGCCGGCAGGAATCTATGGTCGGGAGCGGAGAATCCGCCAGCAAATCCCCGCCAGAATTGCTGCTCCCAGGGTTATGCCTTGAACCAGCAGGGTTGCTATTACCCCAGGAGCAATGGGTACGGTTCGCTGGGACCGGCATCATATGCGGCGACGGGCAGTGTGCCACAAGGACAGAGCCAATATCCTGGCGGTGGCACCACCGCCGCCGCTTCCATGAAGCTCAAGCATCCGACTGACATGTATGTGGGTCATGCCCCGTATGAAGCCACGCCCACGCAACTGGGATATGGATATAACCACCCACAGGCACCGCCCGGATCCACAACATCGAATAACATGAGCACTCAGAGGTATGCAGTGCCACCTTTGGGTCTGGGAATGGGCATGGGAATCGGAGTGGGCATGGGCATGGCCATGGATCCCGGCAGCGGGGGCTACTACAACGATCTCAATCTGAACAGTCTGGACAGCTATGTGAACCAGACGATGCCACCGCAGCAATCCCTACGAAGTCAGCCCTATCCGGATTATCGCAAGAGATCCGCACTGGTTGGTAATACGTCCTCAACGAATTGTTACCTGGGACAGGGAGGAAGTGGAGCAGGTCCTCTTACCGGCAGTATAAGTGGACCCCTCACCAATCTCGATGCCCATGTGGACAGCTATGTGGGCTATAATCTCCATGCCACTGCCGCCGCCAATCTAAACTACAGCGTGGACTCCTCGAAAGCGGCCGCTGTAGCTGCCTCCAACGCTCAGTCCAACAATATTCGCGACTTTCTCTCCACCTGGAAGGTGGATGATGAGGACGAAGCGGGTGCGGTTCTGGAAATGGAGCCTCCACCGGCCATTGCTGTGGTGGCGCCCGTGCCCAACACGACAGTCAACTTTATGTACGAATCTCTGCCTCCTACGGGACCACAGGCCACAGCCGTGGTGGATCATCAGGGCATGAATTTGCCCGACATCATCATAGACATTGAGAAGGCGAATGGGAATGGCATTCCTTCTGGGACAACAACCAGTGTGGATGATTCCTTTGCCAGCTTCGATGTGGAAAAGGAGCTGGATGAGTTGCGTCTCAAGACCTGTGTCACAGAGCAGCCGGTCAACGATAGCGATGCCCTGGCGGAGATCCTACGACAACCGGAAGCAGCAAATCTAATTGCCAGTGAACCACAACCAGCAATGCCTCTGCCCAGTCCCATTCTCAGCAGCAACACTGAGAACTTTGATAACGTTATCCAACCCTCACAACCTGCTCCGCCGACGGTCCTGGACTTTGACCAGAACAACAGCTCGAATTCGAATGAATCCACCTTTGCCAAGCAGTATGAGACCTTTATACACAAAATCGAGGGCTCTGAGAGTGAAACGGAGGAGACAAATCCCCAGGATGAGGATGAATACAGAGAGAATCCCAAGCGATTTAAGTTCTACAAGAGAAAGCGACGAACCACTGAGCAGCAGAATAGCCTCCAAGGGAACAAGGATGAAGAGGAAGTACGGCCAATGGAAGAGGTGATACCAAGTCCCCCGGTGAAAGTCCTTTCCCCGAAAGCATCGGCCAGAGCTAGTCAGAAGCTACTCGCCAAAAAGCGACGCAATCGCATCAAAATGCTAAAGATCCTGGAGTTCGAGAGTCCAAAGATTAAGTATCGTCATTATTTCAAGGCCCTGAAACTCTTGAGAAGCGAGCCGCCTCTAGCCGAACCAGGGAGCTGCGACATCTGCTGGTTAGAAGCAGTTGAGCCGGCATAGAGAGCACCGCCTGCCGCTGATCAAGAGGCTCATCAAGAAGTACAAACCCAGCCAGGAGCTACACAATCCGCCCAGTCTCAAAGGACTGAGTGTGTCGGTCTTGAATTCCTCGGAATTTCGAAGCAGTTTGCTGAGTGGCACGGATCGGGAGACGGTCATCAAAAGTGTCTACAGCTACAAAGACAAGACTGAGGAAGAGGCTGGTGGAGTTCTGAATCTTGAGGAGCAGAGCCTGGATACCATCAAGTCCCTGGAGCTACAGCCAAGCTTTAAGGGCTTCGATGACTTTGAGAATACGAATTTGTCGCCAAAAATTAAGCTGAGAGTGGAGCAGGAGGAGGAGGAGGAGCAGAAGCCTGCCACTGAAGGAGAAACTCCAGCAGAACCAGGTGCTGTTCCCAACAAAGAGGAGCAAATCCAGGCCTGGCTGAGGAATAATATGGAGGATAATGTTACGCCCACTCCGGAGCCAAGCCAACCGGTGATTAAAATAATCCTCTCATCATCCTCATCCTCATCCTCTTCGTCGAGTTCGAGTTCCAGTAGTAGCTCCAGCTCAGATGATGATACCAGCAGTACAACCAGCAACCAGGCAGGAGGAGAAGGAGAAGGAGTAGAAGGCGGAGAGGTGGCTTCCAGTGGCAGCAGTAGCTCAAGCAGCAGCAGCAGTAGCAGCAGCAGCAGTTCCGCAAGCTCACCGGAAAGCGACTTCAATGAGCTGGCCGCCCTGGAAAGGGAACTCTCCCAATCCCAAACGAAACCAGAAGAATCTAAGCCAGCTCAACAGTCTCCCCTTGAGATGATCAAGATCGAGATGAATACGGAGGAGGGAGACGAAGAGGGGTCTCCAATCACGATATTGCCAAACTAAAGAAGATCCTGGAGAGCGATAGCGAGGAGCTGGCCACCAGTTCCCGCTTTGCCAGCGTACCAAAGCTAAGTGACCTTAGTAAGATTGCCTTAAATAGTTCCTTAAAGACAGAAGAAGAGTTAGTAGTCGTAAGAGAGAGTGCATCCGAGGAATCTCCCAGGGTGAGCAATCCTGCTGCCCGAGAGCTGAGCGTGGAGGAGGCCCTGGCGGAGATGTATCAGCAAATGGTGTGGCCTCTGATCCCGAGGATTTCGAGGGCAAGGAGAACGACGAGGAGCCGGATCACAATGGTCAGGATGTGCTGCTCATCAATCTGGCCGAGATCTTTGACTCCAGCAGCGATCTCTATGTGGTTCAGTGCGACATGAACGAGAATATATTGAACGTGGTGGCCAACGGAGAGGAGGAGGACGAGGAGGAGGAGGATCAGGAGATGGTGGAGAATCAGGCCGACGAAGAACTCGTTCAGGTTAATCCTGAGGTGGCCGCGCAGGTCAACACTTTGCAGCTCATCCAATTGCTGGCGGAACCACAGCCCGAGTTCGATGCCAATACGCCTTTGATCCATCACGAGGAGATAATCCGTGACGAGAAATCCGATCCGCAACAAGATCGCCGCCAATTGCTCAAGTATCTCCATGGAAAGTATGTCCAGAGTCGGATCAGTCGCTACTACCATGTCCATCGCATCCTGCGGAAGTACAAGCGCCAGCGGGCGGGCAAGAAGCGGAGGAGCCGCCGCAGGATCACCTAGGATACCAGCTTCTACCAAAGATATTTCTGGTCCCTGGACAGGATAGATGTGTGAGGCTTAAGTAGCACACACACACACACACACAAGCAGCTAAACTTTTTACCAGAATCTCAAGACTTTTTTTGCTTTTTAAATATTTGAATTTGTTTTAGGAAGTGGAATATTTTAGGGAAATCATATTACTTTTGAATAATTTTACGATACTTATTTTACTAACGATATAGAGAGAGAGTATCATATATAGATATATATATAGTATATTTTAGATATCTGTGCAATATTTACATGGAAAAATGTCGTGTTTATCTGAAATCCGCGATTCGAATCTCGATGAATGGGTTAAGCATGAGTAAGCAGCGTTAGGTGACGAGGAGGGTTAATTTCGGGGGCAAAGTCGGGGAGTTCGAGTCGCGTGCAATTAACGAGATATAGTATATATATAGATATGTGTATACCTTATGTTATCTTCTAATGTATCAGCGTTTTAGTCGCTCAGCGAGTTGGGCCATTTTAAAATGCTTTTCGCCAAAGGTCAGGCGCAGATTTGAGATACATTTCGCATTATACATATACATATATATACATATATATATGTACGTTCCAGTTGCGTGTCAGCCTCGGCCTTCGTAGTTTAATTTTGTTTTAGATATAAAAATATATTGCCACCAAATGCAGCCTAGACCAAAAAGTAAACCATACATATATAGTGTTCGATCTGTTAGAAGCCCAAGACTTTGTTTGTTTGTTTTGTTTTCTGTTTAGAGCAATTCTTCTTTGTTAGGTTCCTAGAGCAATTTGTTATCATCGGTTTTTTTAGGGGGATTACCAATAGTGTTAAGCTTTAAGCCCCCGCTATTCCTATACCAACCAAAAGCACCAGAGTTCCGCGGCAAAAGACCATCCCGAATTGATCCAGGCAGATCTTTATGGCATATAAAATATAATTCGTTATGGCGAAACCTTAACAAATTCAAAACGCTGGACTTGTGTAAAACGCAGATGCAGAATATGAAAAATAAAACTTATATATAAATACATATTTATATATAAAACCAAGGGCAATGCCAACTGTGGAACAGACTTCGGGTGCTGTTTTTTTAAGTCTTACTAAAATCTGAATGTAATCTAATCTTATAATCGAAACCACCTAGATGTCTTTTTCTCTCTCGTAACACATTCCAAAGGACCAACTTTTTAGGAAACTATATACACTATCTATAAACTGAACACGAATCAAGAAACTACTATCTAATGTCTAGCAAAATCTCTAAATGTACGTTCTTTCGTTTGTTATTTGTAATTTGTTAAAAATCTAAATAATACGCTTAATTTTAGTACAAAAGAACAGCAAAATGCAAGAGCTAGCCCACTAAATGTAGTAATTAGTGTTTAGCAGTAACTATAATATTATTGCGCAATATGTACATACACACCCCCACCCGACTCTCACATTCTATACATACCCCAATGGATATATCTGTATGTATTTTCTAGCTGTACAATTTGTATATCAGAAGGTTTTCATTGTACCCCTTAGCGTTAAGATTTGTGACTATATCAATGTGAGTGTCTTTGAGCAAAAAACCAAACAAAAGGAACGATATACGAAATACTAAAACAAACAAAAATAATGAAAAATAAATGTTTTATGTAAATGTTAATCGATGACTTTATTTATTTATTAATTGTTTTGAAAACTAATTAAAAGTAAGTAAAAGATTATATTCTGGGAGAGTGTAATATGCGACTATTTATGTGGAGGTCATTAATTAATCTCAAAAATATAGATTTAAAATAAAAACTTAAAAAAGTACTTCCAGGACATTACAATTTTAGTCAGAAACCTAAAATAGAGTGAAGGAGCCATTTCCGACCCCATAGATATGTACATATATTCTTGATCAGCATTAAAAAATAAATTGAGTATGCAGTTTTGTTGCCATTATAAAATCGTGCATAGGAAAGTTTTCCGAATTGAAATTAATGCGATTTTGGCATAGTTATGAGGTTTCTAAAATTTGATTTATTGACAAAATTGTTTATAAAATATAGACAAATACCGACTAAAAGTGTGGTATTGTACGTTTAGTCAGAAGCTTGTGGAACTTTAAAGGACTCAGTTCCGAGTAAATTGAGTATGCAATTTTATTGCCATAATAAAAACGTGCATAGGAAAGTTTCCGAATAGAAATTAATGCATTTTAGCTTAGTTATGAGATTTTAAATTTGATTTATTGTCAAATTGTTTATAAAATATGACAAATACCGACTAAAGTGTGGTATTGTACGTTTAGTCAGAAGCTTGTTAAACTGTGAAGGAGTCATTTCCGACCCCATAAATCATATATATTCTTGATCAGCATCAACAGCTGAATCGATCTAAGTATGTCCGGTTGAAAATTTTTTTTGAAAATTTGATCGATTTTTGCAAAAAACGATAAGGGGTTACATCATTAAAATTGTCAAAAATCGACAAAAATTTTAATTTTATTTGAGTATGCAGTTTTATTGCCATAATAAAAACGTGCATAGGAAAGATTTCCGAATAGAAATTAATGCATTTTTAGCTTAGTTATGAGATTTTTAAAATTTGATTTATTGTCAAAATTGTTTATAAAATATTGACAAATACCGACTAAAGTGTGGTATTGTACGTTTAGTCAAAGCTTGTTAAACTGTGAAGGAGTCATTTCCGACCCCATAAATCATATATATTCTTGATCAGCATCAACAGCTGAATCGATCTAAGTATGTCCGGTTGAAAATTTTTTTGAAAATTTGATCGATTTTGCAAAAAACGATAAGGGGTTACATCATTAAAAATGTCAAAAATCGAAAAAATTTCATTTTAAATTGAGTATGCAGTTTTATTGCCATAATAAAAACGTGCATAGAAAGTTTCCGAATAGAAATTAATGCATTTTTAGCTTAGTTATGAGATTTTTAAAATTTGATTTATTGTCAAAATTGTTTATAAAATATAGACAAATACCACTAAAGTGTGGTATTGTACGTTTAGTCAGAAGCTTGTTAAACTGTGAAGGAGTCATTTCCGACCCCATAAATCATATATATTCTTGATCAGCATCAACAGCTGAATCGATCTAAGTATGTCCGGTTGAAAATTTTTTTTGAAAATTGATCGATTTTTGCAAAAAACGATAAGGGGTTACATCATTAAAATGTCAAAAATCGACAAAAATTTTCATTTTAAATTGAGTATGCAGTTTTATTGCCATAATAAAAACGTGCATAGGAAAGTTTCCGAATAGAAATTAATGCATTTTTAGCTTAGTTATGAGATTTTTAAAATTTGATTTATTGTCAAAATTGTTTATAAAATATAGACAAATACCGACTAAAAGTGTGGTATTGTACGTTTAGTCAGAAGCTTGTTAAACTGTGAAGGAGTCATTTCCGACCCCATAAATCATATATATTCTTGATCAGCATCAACAGCTGAATCGATCTAAGTATGTCCGGTTGAAAATTTTTTTGAAAATTTGATCGATTTTTGCAAAAAACGATAAGGGGTTACATCATTAAAATGTCAAAAATCGACAAAAATTTCATTTTAAATTGAGTATGCAGTTTTATTGCCATAATAAAAACGTGCATAGGAAAGTTTTCCGAATAGAAATTAATGCATTTTTAGCTTAGTTATGAGATTTTAAAATTTGATTTATTGTCAAAATTGTTTATAAAATATAGACAAATACCACTAAAAGTGTGGTATTGTACGTTTAGTCAGAAGCTTGTTAAACTGTGAAGGAGTCATTCCGACCCCATAAATCATATATATTCTTGATCAGCATCAACAGCTGAATCGATCTAAGTATGTCCGGTTGAAAATTTTTTTTGAAAATTTATCGATTTTGCAAAAAACGATAAGGGTTACATCATTAAAATGTCAAAAATCGACAAAAATTTCATTTTAAATTGAGTATGCAGTTTTATTGCCATAATAAAAACGTGCATAGGAAAGTTTCCGAATAGAAATTAATGCATTTTTAGCTTAGTTATGAGATTTTTAAAATTTGATTTATTGTCAAAATTGTTTATAAAATATAGACAAATACCGACTAAAGTGTGGTATTGTAAGTTTAGTCACAAGCTTGTTAACTGTGAAGGAGTCATTTCCGACCCATAAATCATATATATTCTTGATCAGCATCAACAGCTGAATCGATCTAAGTATGTCCGGTTGAAAAATTTTTTTGAAATTTATCGATTTTGCAAAAAACGATAAGGGTTACATCATTAAAATTGTCAAAATCGACAAAATTTTCATTTAAATTGAGTATGCAGTTTTATTGCCATAATAAAAACGTATAGAAAGTTTCCGAATGAAATTAATGCATTTTTAGCTTAGTTATGAGATTTTTAAAATTTGATTTATTGACAAAATTGTTTATAAAATATGACAAATACCGACTAAAGTGTGGTATTGTAAGTTTAGTCACAAGCTTGTTAAACTGTGAAGGAGTCATTTCCGACCCCATAAATCATATATATTCTTGATCAGCATCAACAGCTGAATCGATCTAAGTATGTCCGGTTGAAAAATTTTTTTGAAAATTTGATCGATTTTTGCAAAAAACGATAAGGGGTTACATCATTAAAATTGTCAAAAATCGACAAAAATTTTCATTTTAAATTGAGTATGCAGTTTTATTGCCATAATAAAAACGTGCATAGGAAAGTTTTCCGAATAGAAATTAATGCATTTTTAGCTTAGTTATGAGATTTTTAAAATTTGATTTATTGTCAAAATTGTTTATAAAATATAGACAAATACCGACTAAAAGTGTGGTATTGTACGTTTAGTCAGAAGCTTGTGAACTTTAAAGGACTCAGTTCCGAGTAAATTGAGTATGCATTTATTGCCATAATAAAAACGTTATAGAAAGGTTTCCGAATGAAATTATGCATTTTTAGCTTAGTTATGAGATTTTTAAAATTTGATTTATTGACAAAATTGTTTATAAAATATAGACAAATACCGACTAAAGTGTGGTATTGTAAGTTTAGTCACAAGCTTGTTAAACTGTGAAGGAGTCATTTCCGACCCCATAAATCATATATATTCTTGATCAGCATCAACAGCTGAATCGATCTAAGTATGTCCGGTTGAAAAATTTTTTTGAAAATTTGATCGATTTTTGCAAAAAACGATAAGGGGTTACATCATTAAAATTGTCAAAAATCGACAAAAATTTCATTTTAATTGAGTATGCAGTTTTATTGCCATAATAAAAACGTGCATAGGAAAGTTTCCGAATGAAATTAATGCATTTTTAGCTTAGTTATGAGATTTTTAAAATTTGATTTATTGTCAAAATTGTTTATAAAATATAGACAAATACCGACTAAAAGTGTGGTATTGTAGTTTAGTCACAAGCTTGTTAAACTGTGAAGGAGTCATTTCCGACCCCATAAATCATATATATTCTTGATCAGCATCAACAGCTGAATCGATCTAAGTATGTCCGGTTGAAAATTTTTTTGAAAATTTGATCGATTTTTGCAAAAAACGATAAGGGGTTACATCATTAAAATTGTCAAAAATCGACAAAAATTTTCATTTTAAATTGAGTATGCAGTTTTATTGCCATAATAAAAACGTGCATAGAAAGTTTCCGAATGAAATTAATGCATTTTTAGCTTAGTTATGAGATTTTTAAAATTTGATTTATTGACAAAATTGTTTATAAAATATAGACAAATACCGACTAAAGTGTGGTATTGTAAGTTTAGTCACAAGCTTGTTAAACTGTGAAGGAGTCATTTCCGACCCCATAAATCATATATATTCTTGATCAGCATCAACAGCTGAATCGATCTAAGTATGTCCGGTTGAAAATTTTTTTTGAAAATTTGATCGATTTTTGCAAAAAACGATAAGGGGTTACATCATTAAAATTGTCAAAAATCGACAAAAATTTTCATTTTAAATTGAGTATGCAGTTTTATTGCCATAATAAAAACGTGCATAGGAAAGTTTCCGAATAGAAATTAATGCATTTTTAGCTTAGTTATGAGATTTTTAAAATTTGATTTATTGTCAAAATTGTTTATAAAATATAGACAAATACCGACTAAAAGTGTGGTATTGTACGTTTAGTCAGAAGCTTGTGGAACTTTAAAGGACTCAGTTCCGAGTAAATTGAGTATGCATTTTATTGCCATAATAAAAACGTTTATAGAAAGGTTTCCGAATTGAAATTAATGCATTTTTAGCTTAGTTATGAGATTTTTAAAATTTGATTTATTGACAAAATTGTTTATAAAATATAGACAAATACCGACTAAAGTGTGGTATTGTAAGTTTAGTCACAAGCTTGTTAAACTGTGAAGGAGTCATTTCCGACCCCATAAATCATATATATTCTTGATCAGCATCAACAGCTGAATCGATCTAAGTATGTCCGGTTGAAAAATTTTTTTTGAAAATTTGATCGATTTTTGCAAAAAACGATAAGGGTTACATCATTAAAATTGTCAAAAATCGACAAAAATTTTCATTTTAAATTGAGTATGCAGTTTTATTGCCATAATAAAAACGTTGCATAGGAAAAGGTTTCCGAATTGAAATTAATGCATTTTTAGCTTAGTTA